AACAATGAGATAGTACTTCATAACCAATAGGATAGCTATATTAAAAAGAAAACAAGTCTTGGTGAGAAAGAAATTGAAACCCTCATATATAGCTGACAGGAATGTAAAATGGTACAGCTGCTTTGGAAAACAGTTTGGCACTCCTCAAAAAGTTTTTTCCAGCTCTGTTGAAATATAATTGACATAGAACATTGTTTAAGTTTAAGGTGTTCATATATTGATTCGATACGTCAAAATGTTAAACACAGAGTTAGCATATGACCTAGCATATATATTCTCAGGTATATACCCAAGATAACCGAAAAAAACACGTCACACAAAAACTTGTACACAAATGTTTGTAACAGTTTTTATTCATAATAGCCAGTAAGCGGAAACAAGTATCTATCAACTGATAGGCAAGCAAAATAAATGGATAAACAAAAATGTGGTATATCCGTACAATGGAATATTATTTGGTCATAAAAAGGAATGAAGTACTGACACATGCTACAACATGGATAAACCCTGAAAACATTATGGTAAGTGAAAGAAGCCAGACAAAATAATGCCACACAATGTATGACACATTTATATGAAATATCCAGCATAGGCAAATCCACAGACAGACAGCAGATTAGAAAGCTGGGGAGGGGCGAGGGGTAAGGGGGTAGGAGGAGTGATTACTACTGAGCCTAAGGTTTCTTTCTGGAGTAATGAAAATGTTTTGGCATTAGACAGCAGTGATGATTGCACAACCCTGTGAATATAGTAAAAACCACTCAGTTAACACTTAAACGTGTACTTTAAAGTGGTGAATTTTATAGTATGTGACTTATAATTCAATTTTTTTTAATGAAGGCAATTTCTACTTCTAACAATGATGGAATAATAGGGCAGAATTTACCCTCCCATCTTAAACAACTAGAAAACTGAACAAAATACCTGAAATAAAATTTTCAGACAACAGATACTGAAAAATAGCACAGGAGAAATAAAATAAAGAAAATGAGCTTAGCAACTATCCCAATTTACTGCCGGAAGACAATTTTCTAGCTGAAGCAGAGCAAAGGCAAACAGAACATGACAGTCTCTCTGAAGTGTGGAAACAGATCAGATTTCAGGAAAGCCAAAAGGAGCTAGAGTCTATGGGCAGAGAACTGGCCAGGAAGGAGAGGTTGGGGAGATGTGCAGAAAGATGGCCTCAAGTCTCTGGCTAAGTGCCAATTTGTGTATGTGTAAGAGGAAACACAAGGAAAGAAACACTGAAACAATGCACAGAGCTCATAGTGGAAAGACCTAGTAGTAAACATGGCTAAATTACCCCTAGGCTAAAGGATGCTCTGAACCTGCACTAACAAAGATTTAAAACCAATCCTTGGGGACTTCCCTGGTGGTCCAATGGTTAAGAATCCTCCTGCCAATGCAGGGGACGTGAGATCGATCCCTGGTCAGGGAACTAAGGTCCCACATGCCAGGGGGCAACTAAGCCCACGTGCCGCAACTAGAGAGCCCACGTGCCGCAACTACTGAGCCTATGCACCACAACTAGAGAGAAGCCCGCACACCGCAACAAAAGGTCCCTCATGCTGCAGCAAAGATCCCACGTGCCGCAAAGATCCTGAAAGCCGCAACTAAGACCCAATGCAGCTAAATAAATAAATATTTAAAACCAATCCTCAAAAAGATCAGACTAATTTCAAGTAACTTAACTGTGAACAAGAATAAAGTCCAACACCATTTCAAGGAAATTTTTTAAAATCCAGACCCCTGAACACAAAACACACCTTTCCAGTATAAAATCAAAAATTACCAAGCATGAAAAGAAGCATAAAAATAAAACCCGTAACAAGAAGAAAGGTCAATTGACAAAAACTGACCCAGAAATAGCAAAGATTAAAATACTAAAACATCTGTTATAGCTGGGGTCCCCAGGCCACAGACTGGAACCGGTCCGTGGCCTGTTAGGAACCGGGCCACACAGCAGGAAGTGAGCGGCGGGTGAGTGAGCGAAGCTTCATCTGTATTTACAGCCGCTCCCCATCGCTCACGTTGCCACCTGAGCTCCGCCTCCTGTCAGATCAGTGGCAGCATCAGATTCTCATAGGAGCGCAAACCCTGCTGTGAACTGCGCATGTGAGGGATCTAGGCTGTGCGCTCCTTATGAGAATCTAATGCCTGATGATCTGTAGTGGAGCTGACGCAGTGATGCTAGCTCTGAGGAGTGGCTGCAAATACAGATTATCATTAACAGAGAGGTTTGACTACACAGAGACCGTAATAAATCAACTGCTTGCAGACTCATATCAAAACTCTACCAGTGAGTGGAAAGTGACAATTAAGCTGCATCTGGTGGCAGGCTTTACAGTGGCAAGTGAGTTGATGTACTTCAATTGTACAACTGCATGTGGTGGCAGGCTTTAAGTCAGAAACTGACACTTATTTCAGTCTGCGCGTGGCCTGCCCATTATTTTATTTACCACTTCTGTCCGCACCTCTTTCCTGCACTGTGCACTTCTCTCAGTCACAGTGTGGGTAAGCCCACAAGCTAACCCTAGCCAAAATGAGGAAAAAACAAATGTCGCTGGAGAGCTTTTTTGAAAGGGGGGAAAGACCCAATGATGAGACAGCAGAAGACTCTAAGAAGAAGCCCTTTACTGGGCTTCCCTGGCGGTCCAGTGGTAAAGAATCCGCCTTACAATGCAGGGGACACAGGATCGATCCCTGGTCGGGGAACTGAGATCCCATATGCTGCAGGGCAACTAAGCCCGCACACTGCAAGTACTGAGCTTGCGCGCCTCAACTAGAGAGCCTATGTGCCGCAAACTACAGAGCCCACACGCCCTGGAGCCTGCGCGCCACAGCTAGAGAATAGAAAACCCGCACGCCACAACTAGAGAGAAAACTGTGCATTGCAACAAAGAGCCGGTGCGCTGCAATGAAAGATCCCGCGTACCTCAATGAAGATCCTGCGTGCTGCGACTAAGACCCGACACAGCCAAAAATAAACTAACTAAATAATAAATAAATAAATCTTTAAGAAAAAGCCCTTTACCATTGGTGAAGAGTTGAGCCTGCCTGCTGCTAAGGACATCTGTCATGAACTTTTAGGAGAGGCTGCAGTTCAAAACATGGCACGTGTTCCTCTTTTGGCTAGTACCATTAACTAGACGAATTGATGAAACAGCAGAGGATACTGAGGCACAATTGTTAGAGAGGATTAATGAGTCACCATGGTATGCAATCCAGGTTGACGAGTCTGCTGGTGTTGACAACAAGGCAACAATGCTTGTTTTTGTGCGTTATGTCTTTCAGGAGGATGTGCATGAGGATACGTTATGTGCACTTTTGTTGACAACCAACACAATAGCTGCAGAACTCTTCAAGTCTTTGAATGATTACATATCAGGAAAAGTGAATTGGTCATTTTGTGTCGATATATGCACGGACAGAGCGGCTGCCATGACTGGATGGCTTTCTGGTTTCACTACTTGGGTCAAAGAGGTTGCTTCTGAATGTGAGTCTACACACTGTGTCATCCATAGGGAAATGCTGGCTAGCTGAAAAATGTCACCTGAACTTAACGTTTTGCAGGATGTGATTAAAATTATCAACCATATTAAAATACATGCCCTTAACTCACGTCTGCTCACGCAGCTCTGTGAGGAGATGGACACAGAGCACACACGTCTTCTCTTATACACAGAAATGAGATGGCTTTCTAAAGGTAGATCACTGGCCAGAGTTTCTGAGTTATGAGAGCCACTCCAGAGATTTCTTTTAGAAAAACAGTCACCCTGGCAGCACATTTCAGTGCCACAGAATGGGGTCACAAAACTTGCTTACTTGTGTGACATATTCAACCTGCTCAACAAACTCAATCGGTCACTTCAGGGGAGAACAACCACTGTGTTCAAGTTGGCAGATAAAATGGCTGCATTCAAAGCCAAACTGGAATTATGGGGGCAATGAGTGAACACTAGGATTTTTGACATGTTTCAAATATTAGCAGAGATTTTGAAAGAGGCTGAGCCAGGGCCTTCTTCCCCCCAGCTGGTGCATGATCACCCATCTCAGCTTTCAAAAGAGTTTGAGCATGACTTCCCAGCCACAAAAGACCCCCGAACTGGGAAGGAGTGGATCTGCGACCCATTTGTGAATAAGTCCAGTGAATCGACTTTGTGCTAGAAGAGGATCAACTGCTTGAGATTGTAAATGACGGTGGCCTTAAAAGTATGCTTGAGACAACTTCAAATCTCCATACATTCTGGATTAAAGTCAAGGTGGGATATCCTGAGATTGCCACGAAAGCACTGAAAAGCCTGTTTCTGTTTCCAACATCCTATCTTTGTGAAGCAGGGTTTTCTGCAGTGACAGCAATCAAAACGAGACTACAGAGTAGACTAGACATAAGCCACACACTTCAGGTGTCACTGTCTCCCATCACCCCCAGACGGGACCAACTAGTTGCAGGCAAACAAGCTCAGGGCTCCCACGGATCCTGCATTATGGTGAGTTGTATAATCATTTCATTATATAGTACAATGTAACAATAGCAGAAATAAAGTGCACAATAAACATAATGCGCTTGAATCATGTGAAACCATCCCCCCACCCCCACCTCCCCGGTCCGCGGAAAAACTGTCTTCCACGAAACCGGTCTCTGGTGCCAAAAAGGTTGGGGACCGCTGTAGTACAGAAGTTATAGGTTTGGGTTCCTTACATTGTATCATAGCAAACTGTAAGGATAAAAGGTTTCTTCCTGTTCTCTATTAAGAGAAATAATTTTGAACTCTAAAAAGTTAGTAATACACTGAAATAATAAGAGTGAAAATAATTCACTTGAATAGTAGTTTAGATTTTTATTTTTTAAACTGAATATCTTCTTTTAAAGCTCTTTAGTATTTTTCCCGTTTTCTCTCATATTCTCTTACTTCCTCAGAATTCATTCTCTTGAAATTTGCTCACTTATAAAGACAAAATGAAGTAAAAGTACAAAGAAATGACAAGTGAGAACCTACCTGAAGTCTTGCTAGTTGAGCAGTACGGGCTACTATTTTATTGTATGGCTCAACAATTTTTGCTTTCATCCTAAAGGAAAAACAGAAAGAGGAGTGACAAAATCATCTTCAAAATATCAATGGATAAAAATCTTTCCATTTCATTCATTTACAAAATGAACAACAGTACCTATCAACAGCTCCCTGTAAAGCCCCAATTCTTGTCTGCATCATCTGAAGGACACCTAGGAAAACATAACAGCTTACATTACTTTACAAATTTACGAGGGTTCAAATTGGGTAAAAAGTTAAAAGAAAAAAATAGAGAAATTTTTCCATATTTTTCTGCCATCATCATAATCCAACCAGTATCTTTTACCTAGACTACTGCAAAAACCTCTAACTAGTCTTCCCCGTCCTAACCTTGCTCCACTAAAGAAGTCTGACAAGGAATGGGGAGTGACGGCTTAATGCGTACAGGGTCTCCATTTGAGGTGATGAAAAAGTTCTGGAACTGGATAGTGATGGCTGCACAACACTGTAAATGTAATTAATAGCACTAAGTTATATAGTTTAAAATGGTTAAAGTGGTAAATTTCATGTTAATGTGTATTGTACTACAATTACAAAAAAAGAAGCGTGGGACTTCGCTGGTGGCGCAGTAGTTAAGAATCCACCTGCCAATGCAGGGGACACAGTTCAAGCCCTGGTCCAGGAAGATCCCACATGCTGCAGAGGAACTAAGCTCGTGCACCACAACTACTGAGCCTGCACTCTAAAGCCCGCGAGCTGCAACTACTGAGCCCGTGAGCCACAACTGCTGAAGCCCACACGCCTAGAGCCCCTGTTCCGTGAGAAGCCACCGCAACGAGAAGCCCACGCACCGCAATGAAGAGTAGCCCCTGCTCGCCTCAACTAGAGAAAGCCCACGCCCAGCAATGAAAACTAAACACAGCCAAAAAATAAAGAAACTTATCTTAAAAATTATATTAAAAAAAAAAAGCCTGAGTGATCTTTGGAAGTGCAAATTATAACACTCATCTGCTAAAACCCTTCTCCAGTCTCCCCTTTGCTCCTATGTTAAAACTAAAGTCCACAGCTTGGTCTACAAGGCCCTGAACGATCTGGAAATGAGGTACTCTCCTCCTGGTATACTCTCTCTAACCCCCAATGCTAGATAAATAATAAATATGGACAGCAAGTATATTATTGCCTTTACTCTCTACTTACATAACATGATGAAGAACTGTTTATAAAATTGTAAAATTATTTTCAGGAAGACAGATCTGAAATTTTACTTTTTTATATGCCTAAAAATGGGCTTTCCAGTATTACAGATTTAATTATTTTGAACTATATTCTTTAAAACTCAGTTTCTATATTCAACTGGCATAGCTGTAGTTTTGAAACATAGTATTCTAAATAAATTTAAGTATAGAATGTTGTCATATTAGATGAAGTAATTTCAGAATTAATTAATACTCCTATCTGCATACAAATGTTTTAATATGGCTCAGTCCAATAGAATCCTTTCTGGACCCAAGGATTTCTGCCAGTATTATGGTTCACTGACCTTAAACCTCCAAGAATGAACTGGCTTTCCTTGTTATCATCACTTCCTCACATCTTATTCTCTCCACAACCCACTCGCAACACCTTTCACACATATGCCACCAAAACAGATCTTGTCAACGTCACCAGAAATCTCCAAGGTGCCGAATTCTATTGTCAGTTCTGTCTTAAACTTGTTCTAACTCTCAGAAATGCATGACACGTTGAACCACTCCCTCCCTAAAACATTTTTTTCTCTAGGCTTCCAAGTCATCACCTCGTGGGCTCCCTCTGATGGCATGAGTTGCTCCCACTCCTTCTCTGTTGGATCTCTACATGCTGGAGTACTCCAAGATTTGATCCTCAGCCATCTTCTCTTCTCCATCTAGAATCTCTCTTAGGGATTTCATTCAATCCCAATGTTTTAAACACTATCTGTTCAATAAAATACTGATTTTATATACACACATATGTACATACATATAGATTTTCTTTATACCTGCCTATCTGTACACACACACACACACACACACACACACACACACACAAATCTCTAGCCCTGAACTTTCTTATGACAAGTTTAAGACACCCAACAAGATAACTTCTGCCCCACCATGATCCTCTCCAGTGTGACGCATCTCAGTTACTCATACCATCATCTATCCAATTTTTCAGACTTAAATCTTAGGAATCACTGTTGGTGACTTTTTTCCCTCAGACTTTTTATTTCCCATCAACAAATCCTATCAGCTCTACCCCCATTTTATCCCATTCACTTCTCTCTCTTTATATCCACCACTAATTCAAGGCACCATCAACATCTACTACTCTAATAGCTTCTAAATTGGTACCCCAGATTCTACTCTTGCCTTCCTATAGAGCCACCAGAGAAAACTTTTTAGAGCATTAATCACATAACATCTCTAATTAAAACCCTCCAATTGTTTACCATTGCATTTAGAATGAAAATCAAAATTCCTTCCCAAGAACCTCATCTGCAATTCTTTCCCTCATTCACTAAACTTTGGTCATACTAGCCTTTTCTTTCTGCCCTTCAAACATGCCACGCTAATTCCATTTATTGGTCCCTCAGCTTACCACACTCTCCTCCCCAGATAGTCACGTGGTAGCTCTTTCTCATCATTCAGATCTCAGTTCAAATGTCATCTTCTCAAAGAAGCATCTCCTGCCCATCCTAGCTAGTAAGGAACTCCCATTCTTCTACCTCATCATCTATTTTATTTTCTTTTAGGACTTAAAAGTACCTGAAGTTCCCTACTTACACATTTTTTTTTTTTTTGGTCTAACTCCCTACCTAGAACATAAATATCATGAGAACAGTGACTCTATTGTTCACAGGTGCCTGGTATCTAACAAGTTCTCAATTACTATTTGACTGAGTGAGCAAATAAATGAAGAAATTAGGCTATCTCTTTTTAATAAAATAGGCTTAATTAAATATACCTCCAAACTCCATAAGGACAGGGACTCTGTATATTGTTACAGCTGCCTGGAATCTAACAAATTCTCAATTAAAATTTAAATGCATAAATAAACAAAAAATGAAGAGAGAGTAAATTTTAATAAAATAGGCTAAATAAATATATCTCCAAATGAATTATATGGCCAAAATTTTACATATATAGGAGAAAAAGCAGATGAAGTACAAGTTGGGGTAATACATTTTCAAATACATAACACACATCTCAAAAAGTTTAATAAATGATTAGAAATCATGCTAAAATGAATACTAACTGATTCATACTTTGACTTATGTTCAAATAATCTGGAGAATATTCTTAGATTATCATAGGAATTCAGAGAAGTCAGCCTTTGTACTGTACACAGTCACCCAATGGATAGTCATTCTAACTCAGTCTAACAGCATATTTTAAATGTTTTAAACACTGAAAAGCACTCTGGGGAAAATCAGCACACTATAGAACTAAACACACATAGGGAATTCCCTGGCTGCCCAGTGGTTAGGACTCGGCACTTTCACTGTGGTGGCCCAGGTTCAATCCCTGGTTGGGGAACTAAGATCCTGCAAGCCATGTGGTGTGGCCAATTTAAAAAAAAGAAAAAGAAAAAGAAAACCACAATGAGAAGTATTTCTGTTGTGATGATTCATCTACACCTAAATACACTCAAAATCAACGTACTACCATGACATCCCTATGGGTTTCTATAAAGGAAAAAAACCTTTATTCGTTTACAAAAATTACCATTAAAAACAAGGTATTATTTACTTGCTTCCAGAAACATATAAAAATATTATGAGATTAAAGAAAATTAATTTTCCATAATAAGTCAGTACCTAGAGCCTCTTAATTTTCCCATGAACATAGTCTGATATCTATCCTAAATATTCAAATAACAAACCGTTATCTCCAAAATACTATGTTCTTCATCAGGATGCCTTAGAAACAGTGCATATGCTGAAAATAACATCTTTGAGTGCACATAAGAAATACTAGAGGAAGCATTAAAGAATATTGCATCACAGAAAGCAATATCCTTCTTCCTTAAGAATTTCATCAACATAGGGAAAAATCACTTAGCTTTCTTTTGATGTGCAATGATTAATAGTAATCACAACACAAGTGATAATGGAAAATACAATATTAACATTTCATATTTATGAGATGTAGTTTAATTTAATATAGAGAGAATGACAAATTCATAAAAGATGTAGTCAAACGAAAATAAGAGAGTTCATAATAAAAATCCAATGTATTATCATTCTACTATACTTTCATTTTTGAAAAGCATTTCAAAGAAATAGGAAAGAATTCAAGCCTATTTCCACTACTTTAGTGGAGTTAATTTTGTTTTTGTTTCTTTTTTTTTTTGTCCACGCCACGCAGCTTGCTGGATCCTAGTTCCCCAACCAGGGATTGAATGTGCGCCCATAGCAGTGAAAGTGCGGAGTCCTAACCACTGTAACCACTGGAATTCCCCTGCTTATTTGTTTCAATTAACTAACAGTTATAAAAGCACTAAATATGTGCCAGGAATTGTTCAAAGCATTTTGTTAACTCATTTAATCCTCTAAATAACGTATTAGTACATATTAATACTCTTCCTTTATAGATAAAACTGAGGCACAGAAAGGTTAAGTAAGTTGTCCAAAGTCACACTTCTAGTAGGTGGGAAAACAAGGATTTAAACCCAGAGAGTTTAGCTCAGGGGTCAGCAAAGTTTTATTAAAGTTTTGTTGGAACACAGCCACACACATTCGTTTCCATATTACCTGGCTGCTTTCACCCTGTAACAGCAGAGTTTAGTAGTTGCAACAGAGACAGTATGGCCTGCAAAGTCTAAACTATTTACTTTCTGACCCTTCACAGAAGTTTCCAAGCCCTGGGCTAGCTCTGTACAATGTATAATAGTTAATGGAACTATACCTTCCAAAGACTCAATCCCAGTTGCTTGTGCCAATAAATCTTCATGTCTTGCAACAACCTGAAAATCAAGAATGAATAATCAGCACTCCAAGTATTAAGTATTTTAATTTGTAACCACAAAGTAGAATTGAAGGGCTCTCTCTTTATGGAAAGTGGGAGAATGCTGGTACAAAAAATACAGGTTATAAAGGTGTGTTTGAGCTGAATGACTGGTGGGAACACAAACACGCTATAGCTCAACACAGAGCCAAAGATGTCTTTTCATTAGCCCCGTGGTTTCCTAGGGGGATGTGCAGGAGGAGTTCTGCCCAAACTGAAAAACAAAAACCAGCTAATTCTTGCCATGCTAATTAATACACGCTTCCCTTTTAAAGAGTGTTTCCAAACATCGGTTCTTTTAGTTCTTGCATTTAATTCAGCATCATCAAGACCACATTCTAATTTGGAAAGATAAAGCAAAGTCAGCGCCTCCCTAAACATCTCTCTGCTTCCAGCTTCCTAATGTCACAGCAAATCCTCTTCCCTGCAGAAGACTGGTATTTTTAAGAAAATTAGGACAGTGTGAATAGTCATATCAAAAAAACCCCATAAAAGTTAAGAGTTAAAGGCTACACACAAGAGAGTCCTAGAAACAACAAGAAATCAAGCAAATCTTTAGAACAATGCAGGAATCCTTATTATTTTGTACCCTTTATTACAATGAATAAGAAGTTTCATGTCTAGTCTGTAAACTGAAGCTCCTAATCAGCAAAGATTCATTCAATGGAATGCCTAAATCCTCTACTTTGTCCTGTTTCACACGTCACTTGTCATTCTACCAAGTTCCTCTATCACATATCTAAAATAAGTGTTACTTTTGGACTCTTATGTCTCTTATCCAGAAGACATCTGAGTTCTCCCCAGTCCACTGATATGGTCATTAATGTGTCCATCCTAACAAGATGAATATTTTTCTAATTCTCTATTCTTTGTCCCTTGTGATACTCTGGAAAGGTTGAAAAGCCTAAAACTACAATTTCATAGACTCCCCTTTCCAACAGATTTAGAAGACAGAAGAAAGAGGAAAACTATCTTCCCATTACTGTTTCAGCTAGTAAGCAAAGTCCTGAGACCTGAGGATTTAGAGACAGTTGAGATAGCCCTATAGATCATTCCAGAGTTCAGTTACCAAGCACCCAGAAGCTGAACTTTAGCAGTTGCATGGGAGGTAACAGTAGGAGCTTCCAGGTCTCTGTGTTGCACCTGTGGTAGATCCTTCAACTCATTCCATTAGCTGTACATCCAATCCTCTGTATTAAATATCTTCCTGCTTTAAATACCTAGAGCAGTTTCTGCTTCCTGTACTAAAGCCCTGACTAATACATACTTCGGTACACGTTTTGTAATTTTAATCAACTCAATGATATATATATATATTTTTTTTTTTTTTTTTTTGCGGTACGCGGGCCTCTCACTGCCGTGGCCTCTCCCGTTGCGGAGCACAGGCTCCGGACACGCAGGCTCAGCGGCCATGGCTCACGGGCCCAGCCGCTCTGTGGCATGTGGGATCTTCCCAGACCGGGGCACGAACCCGTGTCCCCTGCATTGGCAGGCAGACTCTCAACCACTGCGCCGCCAGGGAAGCCCCAATCTCAATGATATTTTAAATTATTTTTATTATATTTTATTTACTGGTTTGGTTAGCATTATCCCAATTTTGCTTCTGCAGAAAAACAATTGTAGCAGGTTTAGATCTCATACCAGGAATCAGAGACTTCCTCCACCCTACATCCAGAACCACTGTAAGCATAACTTGCCCCCTCTACGAGATGTTAAATGGATTTTAAGTTTTTACTGATTCCTTCAGAGAAGGTACTATATGCAAAGAATAAGGAAAATGCCAACCACAAAAAGGCAGAAAGAATTTCAGGTGGCTCCTGCAAAAAGCTACCCCCTGAGAAACCTAGGCAGAATTAAGTGCATTTTCCCCTGCTCCCACAGACACTTTGTACTATTCTATTTAAAACAGGCATCACTTGCCTGTCATTATTTCTGTCTGTATCTGCCACTGGTCTGTGAATACTTGGAGAGCCAGGAAATGTTTTCATTTTTCTATCCACACAGCCTAAAGCAAAGCCTGACAATTAAAACTGTCCTATAAATGTTTCTCAATAAGTACTGGTCTCTAATTATATAATCAGAATTTTAAACTGACCTTAAAAGTCACCCCAGTCTGAACTAAGCTGTTCTTCTTTTTTTAAAGAACTGTCTATAATATATACTTCTATCTTTTTTTTTAATAAATTTATTTATTTATTTATTTTGCGGTACGTGGGCCTCTCACTGTTGTGGCCTATCCCGTTGCAGAACACAGGCTCCGGACGCACAGGCTTACGGGCCCAGCCGCTCCGCGGCATGTGGGATCTTCCCAGACTGGGGCACGAACCCGTGTCCCCTGCATTGGCAGGCGGACTCTCAACCACTGAATTTATTTATTTTTTATTTATTTTTATTTTTGGCTGCATTGGATCTTAATTGCTGCGCGCAGCCTTTCTCTAGTTCCGAAAAGCAGGGGCTACTCTTCGTTGCAGTGTGCAGGCTTCTCATTGTGGTGGCTTCTCTTGTTGCGGAGCACAGGCTCTAGGCATGCGGGCTTCAGCAGTTGTGGCACGTGGGCTCAGTAGTTGTGGCTCGTGGCCTCTAGAGCGCAGGCTCAGTAGTTGTGGCACACAGGCTTTGTTGCTCCACAGCATGTAGGATCTTCCTGGACCAGGGCTCAAACCCATGTCCCCTGCATTCGCAGATGGACTCCTATCCACTGCGAAACCAGAGAAGCCCCAAACTGCTCTTTTAATTGATAAAGTAAGACACGAAAAACTTAAGGGAACATGTCTCATTATACCAGATCTAGGTTTCCTGGAAAATAGTTCATTTATTCATGCAATTTGTTCATTCATTTAAATATTTAAGTGCCTACTCAGAAAGAAAGGCAACACTAGAAAGTACACCATAAAACCACCCTATAAAAATCACAGAATTGTAGAAGAGGAAGGAACCTTCAAGATTTTCTACTACAATCTCCTCTTCCCCCTTATTCACTCCAACCCATTCCATAGGTTTTTTTCCTTTTAAAAAAAAAAAAAAAAAGCAAGACTCAAAGGCATTACATGATATGAAAGTTAACAGCACAACTGAGATTTGGACCTATCTCCTAACTCCCCCCATTGTGTTCTATCCACCACAAATTTATCAACTTTCTGTAATTTCATCAAATATTACATTTTGTGCTCATAAAGTGTGAACTGCTGGTGGGAACATCCCAGTTTTTCTTATTCACACTGTTCTGCTTCCAAAATTCTATTATCTTTATCAAAGACATCCTATTTTTTGCCTACCTATACTCTCTCCATATCAGTTAAGATGATGAAAACAAAGTATGAATAAAAGGTTTTGGAGAGATGGGCTTTTCAGTATTTTTCAAATAACAAAAAGTAGTTTACAGAAAACTTTTCAAAGATATACTTGGAAAAATATACATTTGTTCATGTAAATATGCATTTAGATTAAATAATAAAAGGATTATAAAAATGATATATTATCACTCTGCATTGAATAAATTGTATGATCCAGAAAATTGGAATTACCTGTAAGTGCAGTTCTTTATCCAACTGACTGATTCCTTGGGCAAGTTTTGCTAGCTGTTCAGCAATTACAGCTTGATGAATAGATCGAGAAGTATAAGTTTTTACATCAAAGTCTTCATTTAAAAAATCACTATAACACTCTGGGAAAAAAAATAAGAAAAAATCCTTATTAATTACACTGCACCAAACCACAGATATTAAACAACAGAACAATTATAATCATAGTTAACATATTTTGAGGTCTTTCTATACACCAGAAAGTACTGAAAAGGCTTTCTGTTGTAAATGAGAAGAGGCGGTAGCAACAGCAGAAGAGACTGGTAAAATTCACTAAGAACTTACTACACGTCAGGCACTGATATAAGCACTTTATACATACTAACTCATTCAATGTTCACACAACCCTGTTGGAACTATCATTCTCCCCGTTTCACAGGTGAAGAGACAGGCACAGACAGGACATGCAACTTGTGCAACTTCACTGTTTGAACCCAGGCAGTGCAGCTGCAGAGCCCACGCTCTGGACTACTATGCATATTCCTAAAAGCTAGTTTTTAATCAGTGAGTCAAAAGGAAAATATCGAGTAAAAGATTGAAAAAAAAAAAAAACAAACTACTAACCACAGCTTTTAACACAAGAAAACAAGGTCACTGACAATGACAATAGGAAAACTGACTGTATTTGATAATTATGGTCTCCAGCATCTCCAGACTGATGCACAAATACTGTTACAATAAAGTGAATCTGAAATTTTAATAGAAGTAGGCAAATGCAAACTTACAGGTATTACTGAAATTTTGGATTTATGGGTGAAATAAGTAAATGGAAAGAGAAACCATGTTGAAAGTAGACCCGTAAGAGAAAGAAAAAAAGGGACTTCCCTGAAGTCCAGTGGTTAAGAATCTGCGCCTCCATTGCAGGGGGCACAGGTTCAATCCCTGCTTAGGGAACTAAGATCCCACATGCCACGCGGTACAGCCAAAAAATAAATAAATAAAAATTTTAAAACAAGAAGTGATGCTAGATGTTAAGAAGATACCTTTCTGTACACAAATCCACAAATTTGTGGGTGAAAGTGGAGAGAATTGTGAACGAAAAATAGATACACAGAAGTGAAGTCAATGTAGGTATAAACAATTATCTCCTAGCCATATGGTAGATATACGTAAGACTGCCTTGACAGAGATTATGAAACTAACAAGCTATAAAACAGAGTACTTATAAGAAAACTTCAATTGTCTATATCCACTATAATGTACACTCCATGAGTTTGCTTTGTGTACTACCACACCCATAGAGCCTGAACAATGCCTGACACATGGCAGGTGTTCAATACTGGTTGAATGCATGAATTAATCTATGTAGCAGCTGGAAGTAACATTCTGCTAAAAGCAAAGACTCATTCTTGACTACTCTCAAAGTGTAGTGGAGTGAAAGAAGGAAACTGCTACTTTGGCCTTAATTCTGAGAACCCCATTTCCTTCGAGTTTGCCAAGTAGTTCTCAGAATTAAGTATCCTGTCAGGCAGACAAGTGGAGAAGGCTATTCCAAGAGGGAAGGTTTAGAGGCAGCAAATGTAATGGCATATTTTGAGGAATAAGGATAATACTGACTTAAGTATGTCTAGATCACAGTGTGTTTGGGGCAGAAAGGGTAAAGAATGATAGGATTTGAGGTTCCAAAGGAAGGTTGGGGTGCAGTTTGAAAAGAGGCTGGTAAAATATTCAAAATGTTCAGACTATTTCCCATTTAAGGTTTTAAAGCCAAGAAAGAGCTCTGTTAGCCTTGTGTCGTAGAACAGTTTCTGGCAGCTGTACGGAGGATGACTGAAAAGGGATTAGCCATGCGGTGGTGCGCTGGGGCTGGCTCGGATTGGATCCTGAGAGCCAACTGTTAATCTCTCAGGAATTCTGTGAGCCAGTTGACATCACATGTAGGTATCTTAAAACTGACCGTGGGGGCTTCCCTGGTGGTGCAGTGGTTGAGAGTCCGCCTGCCGATGCAGGGGACACGGGTTTGTGCCCCGGTCCGGGAAGATCCCACATGCCGCGGAGCGGCTGGGCCCGTGAGCCATGGCTGCTGGGCCTGCACGTCCAGAGCCTGTGCTCCGCAACGGGAGAGGCCACAGCAGTGAGAGGCCCGCGTACCGCAAAAAAAAAAACTGACCACGGTAAGGGTATTTACACCATGAAAATTAGCATACACTACAAAATCAGGGCTTCTTCTATTTTCCCAGGACGCTAATTTATGAACACACCCATGGAATAGAGCCACAGAGGCCAGTAAGGTGCTATGTTAACAGCCTAAGTGACAGGATGAAGACTAAGATAGTAGCAATAAGACTGTCAAGGAAGTGACAAATTTGACAAATATTCAGACACCATAATGTATAGGACTTAGAGACAAGCTGAAAGATGGGTGATTAGGTAAACCAAGAATTAAAGGATGATTCCCAAGTTTCTTGATTAACTGACATAGGGAATTCAGTTTTGCATAAAGTAGTCCACCAGGAAGCTTCGTATAAAGATGAACATGAATGTACCCCTGCCTCCAAGGAACTGATAACCTACGTGGGAACAAGCACACATCTAACCTACGTGGGAACAAGCACACATCTAACTTACCACATACAATTAATGGTAACAGAGACTACCAAAGGAAAAGGTTAGAGGAGAGGGGTTAAAAAAAAAAAATTCATTTCACTTTTTCATGTGCAGAACCTATACTATTTGTTCATATGTAGATTTTTATATGTAGAATTAGTAGTGCTTGTTCACTGTCAAGAGAGAAATGTCCAGTAGAGAGTGGTTCTATAGCTCAGAAGAGGAGTACGGGCCATATGTGTATATTTGTATACATATTAATTTTCAAACTATGAAAAAAAGACCAGATGATTTAGGAAGACATTTTAGAATGCACAAAAAAGGAAAATGGGACCGGCAGAGCTCAGAAGCAGGAAAACACCAAAATTTGGGGGTAGATAGAAGAAATGAAAGCAATCACAGAAATTAAGTGTTCAGAGAGAAAGAAAAACAGGAGAGAACAGCAAAAAACCAAAAGGGACAGCTTAAAGAAAGTCAGTAGTGTCAAAGATCTTATAAAGATCAAACGCAATGAAGGCTGAATATTGGCCATTGGATTTGGCATCTGAAGACAGACTGTCCTTCGTGCTTCTCTTTTAGCTTTCTCATGCCTATAGGAGGCACATCAGAAACACCTCACAAAATTTCAAACTATGCATCTGCTGACCAACCCTATCAATCCTATCCTCTATCACTGGCAGACCCCTGACACAGTGGATCACTGTTACTGATGGAAATGTTTAATTCCTTAGGAATGTTGTGGGAGGGAAGAGTGGAGTGAACCACTGAATTAGGGGTGAAATGAAGACGACAAGCATCTAAAGAAAGCTGAAAAAGAACACTTAGAGAATTAGGAAATTTTTTAAAAAATGGAACAAGCCACATGAGGCAAGTATTTCAATAAAAGATTCGAACCCTTTCATAAGTTCAAGTAAGATAAAGACCGAAACAGTGTCCATTTGATTTATCCACAAGAAAGTCACTGGAGACCTTGGCAAAGCGATTTCAATGGCATAGAATGAGGGTAACTGGGTCCTTGAGGAGACAGGAAGAAAATCCAGAGCACCAAGGGGAGGGGCTGTCCTTAGGAAGGAATGGAGACTTCACTTCTTTTATAATTGAAAATACAACAGAAAAGAAGGAAGAAAGAATGACTGCAGGTTCAGGCTTAGTTTATAGGTTTAACCGCAAGAAATGGAAGAAGCGCATATCTAATAGATTTTTTTTTTTTTTAGGGAACTTGAAAACCATTTGTTGAGCTTGAAGGGAGTGGTTTGAAAAGAGTAGATTTAAATAATTATTGTGGAAGATGGGAAAGAGAACTAAATAGGAAAATACAGAAAGCAGAATTGAGGACTGTTTACCCTCCAAAAACTGATTACAATTGCTGGAATGCACCCAACTGAAATAAATACCCATGCGCAGCATGTACTGTTTCCTCCACTTCACCTGGGAACATCCTATTTACACCTCGAAACCAACTCCATCTAGAAAGCCTTTCCTGACACTCCTTTAAACCACTCCCAGTTATCATCCTCTTTTGTATTCATGTTTTACTTCGTATACAATTCTACTGCTACCCTTACAACACCATATTACGGTGCCTACCTTTCTAACTCTACAGGGCTATTTCTCCTACCAAAATGGTGAGCTACTTGAGGGTGGGAATTGCATATGTATCAGGAGCTCAAAACTTGGTTAACCTGAATTTAAATTAAGGTACAAAGATGCATTAGCCAGAGATCCTAACCTAGAGAACATGATCTAGTTCAGAAAACATCATTAGTAACTTTTGACAAAAGTATGTAAATTATAATCAGAAGGCAAGGAATTAAGGGCAATAATAAAACATACAACACAGAAAACAAACAGTACTTTAGAATTTTATTTCATTCGTTTAGAACCTATTTGGGTCTACATATGTGTGCATATGCTTCTTTACTGTGATGTTCAATTTTTAAAAACCACTTACTCTGCACCTACTGTAGGCAAGGTACTGTTATTAACTCTGCAGAATATAAAAAGGGGTTTTACAATGAAGTAGAAAAGATTAAGTACACTAATTATTTTAATACAAGGTTGAACGTGATGGAGATTAGGGAAGAAAATTAAGAACAGATGAGAAGGATCTTAGAAATCTGAACTTTATTCTGAAAGAAAAGAAGTTTGGGGCATGTTAACTTCACGAATACAATTTTATGTGCTTCTCAAATATACTACGTCTAACTTATCCTCTTATTTCTAGAAACTTCTATCCAAAACTATCAATAAACTTGATTGCTATATTCAATACGTATAGTTAATCCCAGCCTGAACGAATGCTCCGAACCCTCCCCCACGTATGGCTATGGATAAACGACTTGTAAAAAAAAAAAAAAAAGCGAGCTCGTAAGTGGGGCCACCTGTGCAGTCCAAAAATTTATTAACAGGGTATTAACAGGGGGATGTTTCCAACTCTACCTAAAAATGAGACCCCCTTCATCAAGCGCTTGTAATCTACTCTAGGTCTTACACTTCTCGTGGAATCAAACGCTTCACCTTTTGGTCAAGAACTGCGGTAGCAGTGGGTCACCGGGGGCGGGAACTCGGGACATCAGCGAAACCCCAGGAGCGTGGAGGGCAGAGTTGAAAGGAGGAGCCTCCAGAAATGAGGTGTCCCCAGGACACCCGGAAGGGAAGGGGACAGCAAGTCCCTGGAGAAACAGGTTGGCTAGGCCAGCACCCAGACGCCAGGGGGCCGGGCGGAGGGGAGTGGTCACGCCGAGACAGGAAAACTTTCCGCAAAGCGAAGGGTTGAGTCCACCACTTGGGCCCAGGTGCGGAGCAGGACAATCCCCCAACCCCATGGCCCGTCCAGACCCCGACTCCTTACCGTCCTGCAGGAGCTCCCGGACAGTCGCTGCAGCCGCTCCGGAGCCCAGAGCTGGACGGCCAGGCAGACCGAGGCCGCCGTCGCCTCTTTCCATGTTGGCAGGTGCCGGGGAGATGGCGTCAGCAGCGGCGCGCCCCGCCCAGGTCATGACGCAGAATCCAGGCGCCGCCAGCTCCGCCCACCCGGCTGTCTTGGAGATTCCGCTCTGCTGCAGCTGGCGGGCTGACCCTGGCTGGGAACAGCGCGGGGCCCAGAGTAGGTGGGCGCCGAGGCCCCAGCGCACCAGGGAAGCTGAGGTCGTGGGGCCGGCGCTTTCTCCCGTCTCCCGCCGCGCTCCTGGGGCTGGCGGCGTTCCCTGGGCGGAAGAACAGGTGAGCGCCGGAACGTGGCGGCAGCGCTCACCTCTAAAGCAAGTATTTAACCTGAGAATGGGACCTCTCGATGGAAGCACTAGAAGAGAACGGAGGTTTCTGGTAGCTTCGTGTGCACGCCACAAGCACAGCTGGCGGGCGTTAATAGCTACCCACCTGTATCTATCACAACCCTTGCTTCGCGTTCTTGGGATAAAGGCAGGCGGGAAAAGCTTGGGGAGGAAAGTTGCCAGGGCTGAAAGTGGGGAGAATTAGGGAGAGCCGAGAGTCGGTTAAGTAGGAAGACTGAACCAGGAATAGATAAGTGGGACTCAGTCTCTGCTTACCCTCCCATGAGACAGTGACCTTAGGCTTTTTCTACCGCCTAGTTTCAGTCCTGAGCGACGCCAGACTTTTCCTTGTCACAAATTGATGGATTTTCCATCTCTCAACTAACAGTATTGGAGCTGTAAAATCATCAGGTTAATTCCCGTTATATCTTCTCCGCTGTTAACGTCGGCAGTATTTACCTGTATTTCTCTCACGATAAATACTAGCAAGTTAACAGGTCAACCACACGTGTGCGAGAAGGTTAAGCATTTCTAACGTAAAAAAGAAACGTTAACTTTTCCTTCGTGTACAGTAAGTATGTATGCAGGGAACCTATTTTTCCCAGTGCCAGAGCTAAAGTTTCTCTTGATTCAGCTAACGGATTTTCGAGAATGTGATAGTAGTACCTAGCTGTGCCAAATGCCGTTCGAACATATTAGATGCCTGTAGCAACTCAAGCAAGTATGTCTCACCACACTGCATTATGCTTTCTCTCTGTCACAGAGGTTTTCCCCTAATATACTTTGATTTCAGTCACGGTGTGAATAGGATTGAATGTTCTGAATGGAGGTCTCGCAAATTGCCAAGGGCAGTGTGCTGAGATTCACATTAGGTTTCATTATCTATAATACACAAAATTTGACTTCAGTAAATTTTGAATATTAATGATGAACAAGCATTATCTTTGAATTATGGACTGTTTTTCCTTCCCTGGCTTTTACATTGAAAATTTTTAGAAAAGTTACATAATATTCATTCATTCAATGAAGAGTTTTGAGTCTCTACTATATGTACCAGCATGAGTGTACAAACATTAGACTCAATCCCTGTCTTATCCCAGAGGAGCGAATGGGTAGGTAGAAACCCATTTAAACAAACAGTATTACCAGGTGCCTTGGAGGATGTGGATTTGTTTATTCCCAAGCTTGGCTGCCCATTAAAATCACCTGGAGAGCTTTAACAACCACTGATGCTTGCTTGCATCCTACGCCCTGAGATTCACATGTAATTGCTCTGGGGTATGGTTTGGGCATCCTGCTTCCTAAAATCTCACCAGATCATTCTAATGTACAACCAAGATTAAGAACTACTGATTTATTCATTCAGCAAATATGTATTAAGGGAGGCCTTCTTCGTGCCATGTACTGGGACTACAAGAATGAATTAAGTACCACCTGTTGCACATGGATAAATACCTCTGGAGAGGTAGAAATTCAGTTACACAAGGTCAGGGAACAAGTGCACTGGTTACAACAAATTCCCCTTGATACTCTATGGTCTTTTGATCTATTTAGCTGGCTACCATCATACAAACTGGACTTGTCATATTGCTTTTAACTCTGCCTTGCATAATTACTGTTTTTGCATAATTATTTTTATGCTCTGTACTTGTTGCCTGTTAAACGTTTGTAGAAACAGCTTACTCAATAGGGTGACTCTAGCTCAGTGCTTCAAGATGACCTCCAGTGCTTACAACCTAGATGGAATGTAGACTTTAGATGGGAAATTCCTGAGTGTTCTTCTTCATGCTCCTCCTTGTTACTCAAATGTGGCTTCAGTGGTTTCCAATCGCTATGCACTTTCCCTCTGACGTGGGACATGACAACCAGGAAACGCCCTTCCTGGTACCAAGGGACAAAACCCACTAAATGTGGACAACCTGACTCTTGATCAGCAATGCTTTTGAGGAAAGATCTTGATCAATAGAGGGAAATGTGAAAATAAAGAAAACTTCATTTAAAGTGGAGTCATGAAGCCCTGAAGGGAAAGCTGTCATGTATGCACCACTTGTGGCTGCCTGCATAACCAGCAGGAAGAAGAACAATAAAAATTATTTAACAACAACAACAAAAGAATGAATAAGAGTGAAATTATTCTTGCTAAAGTCACAATGACCTAGTTGCCATTGGACACGTTTTAGTCTTAACTCTTCTGTGATGTTTAAGATGTTTATCCCCTCCCTCCTTCGTAATACTATTCCCTCTCTTTTGAATATCACATTTCAGATTTATTCCTCCCAACTCCAGAGTTCATCTCTCTGTCTCCTTTACATTCTTTTTTTTTCCCCTTTTACTTAAATGTTTGTGCTTCTAAGGATTTCTACAAGATATGGCATCCATAAGTACTTTGTCCATGTTTTTAGTTTCAACATATTACCTAAAGGTTAAAGACTTATCTCTAGCTTTTTCTTTAGTACCATATCTATATAACCAGTTATGAGGCATCACCACCTGGAAATCCCCTGAGCACCTCAACTTCAGTGTGCCCAAGCGTGGACTCGTTTCCCTCCCAAAGCCTGTTTCTCCTTCTGGTTCTCTGTCTCATTGATTGGAATGGCCATCCGCCCAGTCTCTAAAGCCAGAAGTGTACACATCATCCTAGAATTCTTCCTTAATTACACAACACGTGCTGTCCTCAGGTGATTTCCACCTCCTAAATGTCTTGCTAGTTTATTTTTATTTCTAAATAGCTCCTAAATGTGTTCCCTTTCCTCTATCCTCATTCCTGGAGTCCCAGGTCAGATACTCATTACACACGGCTTGGTCTACTACAGTGGCCTCCTTACTGATATTTTACCAACAGCCCTAATCCCTCCATCGAAATCTTTCTGAATCAGAAATCGGACCATGTCATTTCTCTGCTAAAATTTTTCAATTACAACTAGTATACAAGGAGAGACAAACAACTTACACAAAAATATATGCCCATGGAAGTATGTCATTTGCACAAGTTAACATGTTGAGTGCATATGTAAAAATCACCCACAGAGGAGGAAAAATGGCTGAGAACCAAGGCCCTACAGTTTAAAATCTAAAATATCTTAACCTGGTGTATAGGCCCTCTCATGCCCTTTCTAGTCTAGTTACAACTCAAGCAATGCTGAACTGTTGTTAATGGTTCACTGAAAAGATCAAGCATTTTCATGCTGCTGTGGCTTTTTACATGTTCTCTGTAACTGGACACGTCCCCATCTTCCATGTAGTGTCAGCTCAAGATTTCCTTCATCCATTATTTTTTTTTTTTTTTTTGCGGTACGCGGGCCTCTCACTGTTGTGGCCTCTCCCGTTGAGGAGCACAGGCTCCGGACGCGCAGGCTCAGCGGCCATGGCTCACGGGCCCAGCTGCTCCGCAGCATGTGGCATCTTCCCGGACCGGGGCACGAACTTGTGTCCCCTGCATTGGCAGGCGAACTCTCAACCACTGCGCAACCAGGGAAGCCCCCTTCATCCATTATTGACTTCCCTCACTTCTCTAGACAGTTATTTCTACAGTGCTTAAATTGTGTTTGAGTGTATTAGCATTATTGTGTAAGTTTGTCTAATACATTTTCAAGGATACAGAAAATATATTTTCATCTGTGTTCCCAACATGTAGCAGAAACTTGATATTTGTTGAATGAATAAAAATAAGATCAACTGGGATTCCAAGAAGATTGTCAGAGTCATCAGGATGGGGGATTATGAGTACAGAGACTCTGTGAGCCAGTGAAAATGGGCTCAAGGTTTAACTAAAGGTACCACTTAGTTGACACACCTGCAGGAGATGGAGAGTGAAGGACAAGCCCCAAGTTTCTGACTTGAGTGCGTAGGGATGGACTGTGATGGCATAACCAGGATCTGGAATGCAAGGGAGATGAGACAGGTTTGATGCATGAAAAAGCGACTACCTTTTTTTTGCTTTATACTTTACCTATGTAGGTGGCTTACATCTTTCTAATCATGAACTTTTGTTTAAAAAAAAAGCTAGTAACTCTCTAAATATTAAGTTAAACAGTAACAGTGATAAAGTGATGAACAGTGATCAGTAAAACTAGCTTATCTTATTCCACCTGTACATTCTACCTAAGGAAATTGAAATTATTGGTTTATATTTAGGTTATAACAGTACTTTCAGGATTAGCCAAACAAGAAATTGCATGTGGAGCAATTAGACCTTTCTGAAGTTGGCCCATATATGTTTTTAAGTTGGTAAGGCCAAAATTGGAATATGGAAAGCAGCCAACACTATGAAATGATAGGATTTTAAGTACAGTATAGCAACTATAAAACACAGGAATTACCTAATTTAATCACTTCTCCCTCTTTGGGTATAATAGTGATTTACTATGCAATTATGTGATTACAATTGAGATTTTCATGAAACGATGTTCATGAAACATTTAAATGCTTAAAAATAATAATTAAAGGTTTGTTTGCCTTCTGATTCAAATAAAAAGAATAGGATTTGAGAATAAGAGTAAACATATTCTTATATATGGGGAGATCAGCTCGTTGTTTTGTGACCACCTAGATGGGTGGGATAGGGAGGATGGGAGAGAGGGGATATGGGGATATATGTATACATATAGCTGATTCACTTTGTTATACAGCAGAAACTAACACACCATTGTAAAGCAATTATACTCCAATAAAGATGTTAGATAAATAAATAAATAAACCAGTACATCTTTTGAAATGCTGACTACTTAAAGTTGTTCTGTTACTGCCATTTAACTTTCCTGGATAAAACAAGGTATTTCAAAGTGCCAGACATACACAGTACTATATATGAAATGATTCAAATCAAATTTGTTGGTTAATCAATGCCAAACAAAGTAAAATGGAAAATCTAAAAAAGTAACATGGAAAATCGTAATATGTATTCTAGGAAGATATCTTGTGGTTTTCCACATCCTGATCATTTATAAATTTGAGCAGAAAATGTTACAGTAGTGGGTTAAGTATAGAATTCAAAACTGTTAGTGTTTGACTTGAACAACAGTAATTTGTACAGAATATAAATGTCATAATTGCACAGTGTGCTGAAAACTATCTGTGATTTATAAATAGAGGCAGAATTCAGTAGTATCCTATTCGATACTGTGAAAAGAAGCTAAGAAGATTCCTAAGCCCGCAAAACCTGATGAAAAATACGTGTTCTTGGCAATTGAAATTGTAAGAATGATGGGATTCATCAAGTGAAAGTGCCTTTTCTCTACGCAAACTGGTTATCTTTTTCAGGTTTGAAACAAATCTGTATTCATGAAGAGTGACTGCATGCAAACCACAACATGTCAAGAAAGAAAAAATGATCCAATAGAAATGCTTCATTCTGGGCAGCTGGTAAAAGTCTGCGCCCCAATGGTGCGATATTCAAAGTAAGTATTGTTAAATGGTTAATGAGCTTAGGTGTGATTTCCTTTTTATGCTCTGACTTCTTAAAAGTAAGACCACCCCACCACATGGGATCTTCAAACGCCTAGCTTTGGGACCAGGGTCCGGGCTTGAGTCCTCATGCTGCCAACTGCCTGGTATGTGTATGATCTAAGTGGTCAGACAGTATTTGTCTCTTTGAGACTGGCTTATTTCACTGAGCATAATATCCTCAAGGTTCACCCATGTTGTACCATGTATCAGAATTTCCTTTTTTTTTTTTTTTTTGCGGTACGCGGGCCCCTCACCGTTGTGACCCCTCTCGCCGCGGAGCACAGGCTCTGGACGCACAGACTCAGCGGCCACAGCCCACGGGGCCCAGCCGCTCCGCGGCATGCGGGACCTTCCCGGACCAGGGCACGAACCCATGTCCCCCGCATCGGCAGGTGGACTCTCAACCACTGCGCCACCAGGGAAGACCCAGAATTTCCTTCCTTTTTAAGGCTGAATAATATTCCATTGTATGTATATACTACATTTTGTTTATCCATTCATCCCAGCTTGAGTTGCTTCCATCTTTTGACTCTTGGGAATAATGCTTCTGTGAACATGGATATATAAATATCTTTTTGAAACCTTGCTTTCATTCTTTGTGGTATATGCCCAGAGGTGGAATTGCTAGATCATATGACAAATCTATTTTTAATTTTTGAGGAATTGCCCTGCTATTTTCCATAGCAGCTACACCATTTTATATTCCTACCAGCAGTACACAAGAGTTTAGTCTCTCAGCATTCTCATCAACACTTGTTGTCTTCCAGGGTTTTTTTGTTGTTGTTTTAATAGCCATCCTAATGGATGTGACTTACTGTGGTTTTTATTTGTATTTTTCTAGTGATGTTGAGCATCTTTTCATGTGCTCATTGGCTATTTGTATATCTTCTTTGGCACAATGTCTCTTCTAGCCCTTTGCCCATTTTTGAATCAGATTGTTTGGTTTTTTGTTGTTACTGTTGTGTTTACTCTGGAGTTTTGAGAATTCTCTAGACTAGATACTACTCTTGTCAGATATGTGGCTTGCATATATGTTCTCCCAGCATGTTGCTTGTCTTTTCATCCTCTTAACAGGGTCTTTGGCAGAGCAAAAGTTTTTATTTAATGATGAAGTCCATTTTATCAGTTTTTCCTTTTGCAAATTGTGCTTTTGTTGTCAAGTATAAGAAATTTTTATGTAGCTCTAGATATTAAAGATTTTGTCCTATGTTTTTTCTAAAAGTCTTTTAGTTTATGGTTTACATTTAAGTTCATAATTTTTAATTAATTTCTGTCTAAGTGTGAGACTTAGGCTGAGGTTTGTTTGTTTGTTTGTTTTTGCCTGTGGATGTCTAGTTACTCCAGTACTATTTTTTGAAAAGGCTGTCTTTCCACTATTGAATTACTTTTGCATCTTCATCAAAACTCAGTTGAGCATGTTTGTATGGTTCTTTTTCTGCATTCTCTGTTCTAATCCCTTGATCTATGTGTCTGTCCCTCTACCAATACCACAGTCTTGATTACTGTAGCTATATAATGTCCTCAAATTAAGTAAACTTAATAAATCCCACTTTTCTTTTTCAAAATTGTTTTAGCTATTCTAGTTCCTTTGCCTTTCCAAATAACTTTTTAGGATGATCTTTTCTAAACCTACAAAAAAATCCTGCTGGATTTTCCATAAGAATTGTATGAAAATGCATATCAATTTGGGGAGAACTGAATTCCCTACTGTGTTGAGTCTCCTCATGAACACGGTATGTCTCTCCATTTATTTAGATCTTCTTTGATTTCTTTCATCAGTGTCGTATAGTTTTCAACGTACATTTTCTGTACATATTTTGTAAGGCTTACACTCCAGTTATTGTACTTTTAATTTCAGTGTCCATGTGTTCATTGCTGGTGTATAGAAGTAAAATTGCTTTTTGTGTGTTGACCTTACATTATGTGAACTTGCTGTGTTTACTTATTGGTTCTAGGACGTCCCTCTTACAAATTCCTTAGGATTATCTAAGTAGACAATCATGTCATCTGCAAATAGAGATAGTTTTACTTCCTCCTTTCCATCAGATGCCTTTTGTTTCTTTTTCATGCCTTATTGCACTGACTAGAAGTTGCAGCACTGTACTGAATAAGAATGATGAGAGCAGACATCTTTCCCTTGTTCTTGATCTGGAGGGAAAGTATTCTTTCACCTATAATTGGGTTGGCCAAAAAGTTCATTTGGGTTTTTCCATAAGATCTTACGGAAAATATATATAAAGATCCTAATATAATAATAAGTGTAGAATTTTTTGTGGATGTTCTTTATCAGGTTGAGAAAGTTCCCTCTATTCCTGTTTTCCTGAGAGGCTTTTTTTTTAAATCATGAATACTGTTTTGTCCAGTGCTTTTTCTGCATCAATTGATACAATCATGTGGTTTTTTTTTCTTTAGCCTGTTAATGTGATGGATTACAGTGATTGATTCTGAATATTGAAACTTCTGTTTTAACTAGCTTTTTCTGACACCACCACAGCAGGGGAAGGATGAGAAAGCACCACCTCATTACTCTCAGGTGGAGGTAGAAGCCTAGGTTTTCCACTTGGTCTCCTTTGACACCCCGGGGGCACGAGGCTCCTCATTACTGCTGAGCAGGGGTGAGAGTTCCAGCTCCCCATGCAGGGGGTGGCCTGGTAACTGCTGGGCAATGATGAAAGTCCTGGCTCTTCACTAAGCATTCTCTAACACTACTCCCGGAGAAAGGGAGAAGGGCACCTCACTGCTGCAGGGTTGGTGTGGAATTCCAGGCTCCCCAGACGGTCTCCGCTGATACTCTCCTTGTTACTGGCCAGCAGGGATTAAAGTCCCAGCTCCCTACCTGGCCTTCTCTAACACCACCGTGGAGGGGTGTTGGAGAACTTTGTGACAGCTTTGGAACGGTACAAGTGTAAGCTCCCCACTCGACTTTCACTTGTGGAGGTGAGGGCCACAGTTTTTTCGCTGGTGTTGGGCTGGAGTAGAGCCATTATTATTTTAAAGCTTGCTAGGCTGCCCCTTTCTTGGTGCTTTGGCTAGAGAGCAGGCTTTTGCTGGGGCTGTTTTTGTCTGCACCCATTGCTATTTCCAGGTTGCCATCTTCTTCAGCTTCAAATCTGGGATGTTTGAGGCAACGAGAAAACCCAGGGAACTCACCATTGTCGTTCCTTAGGTCCTGCCCGAGGTCACTAGCCTGCCTGCTCTCTTCTCGCCACCTTTCAGAGTTTCCATACATTTGTTTTGTATATGATATCCAGAGCTCTTAGTTATACTAAGCAGGAGGGATAGGGAAGAGTACATCTACTGCACTTTCCCATAGGCAGAACTTTTCTCTAATAAATATTAAATATTTAATAATTAACTAAACTAAACTCTGATTATGGTGCTTTCTAAATGCCTAATTAAAGTTTTATATGCTCTCAGGTTGGCTTTTAGAACACTGGTAAGAAAATACAGTTGCGATCTGTGCTATACGCCAATGATAGTTGCTGCTGATTTTATCAGATCTATAAAAGCCAGAGACAGTGAATTTACCACAAACCAAGGTATGTGAAAGCTAGATTTTGCTGCCTTTGTAAAACTTTAAAAACAAAACAACAAAACTCAACACTCTTGTCTAATCAGAGACAACACAATTCGGAGATTTTATTTTTAAATCTTTCAGTTTCTTATGGTTTTTATAAATTTTTAAAAATATGTTTTTATTCAGTACCTTGTAAACTATGGATAATATATCAAAGTTTTAGTCAGCCCCATTCTCTCACCTAGACTATTGGGTTAGATTCCTATCTCACTGCCTCCAGTCTTATCCCATTTCAAACTACCCTCCAGACAGCCCCAAGTGACCTCTCTAAAATGTAAATTTGATCACTTCTTCCTGCTCGCAACCTTCCTTAGACTTCTCATCACCTAAAAGAGTGGTTCTCAAAGTGTGATTTCCCAGACCAGTTAACATCAGCATTATCTGAAAACTTGTTAGAAATGGAAATTCCAGACTCCACCGCAGGCCTACTGAATCTGAAACTCTGGGTATGTGTCGGGCAATCTGTTTTAAAAAGCCCTCCAGGTGATTCTGAGCTTGTTAATGATTGAGAGCCACTGACCTAAGGAGTAAAATTCCAGCACGTGTGGACAATATACAAAGTTCTTCATGATCTGGCCTCTGAATACGTGTTCTGCAGCTTTATCTTCCATTAGTTTCTCTCCATGGCCCACCAACTTTATTCTTCAAAATACTAAGTTATTGGGGCTTCCCTGGTGGTGCAGTTGTTGAGAGTCTGCCTGCTGATGCAGGGGACACGGGTACGTGCCCCGGTCCGGGAAGATCCCACATGCCGCGGAGCGGCTGGGCCCGTGAGCCATGGCCGCTGAGCCTGTGCGTCTGGAGCCTGTGCTCCGCAACGGGAGAGGCCACAACAGTGAGAGGCCCGCATACCGCAAAATATATATATATATATATACTAAGTTATTTTAAGTCCTTGAACATGCCCTAATCTCTCACACTTCTCTACCTAGAATGTCCTTCTTAGTCAGGCCTATCCCTGCATCCCTATCCCCCTGGGAAAGGACAGTTCATGCTTCTTAATGCTCTAAAACTGTGACCAAGGAACTTGCCTAATCACCCTCCATTCATGTCCTGTCTCGAAAGCCCCGGCTTTTTGTTGTAATCCTACTGTACTGTAATTTCCTCCTCACATGCCTGTCTCTCCCACTAGACTGTGGGCTTCTTAAGGGTTGGAATTCTTTCTTGTTGATTTGTATCCTCAGCTTCTAGCACAGCATTGAAAATATATTTGACCAATAAATGGTCGTTAGATTGAAATTTTATAACTCTCTTGCGTTACAAAGGAGAAAGCACCCTACCTACCTCCTCAGGAAAAAGCAAATTCTCCTATCCCTTAGATAATCCTGTAAATCAGTGGATTGCCATAGAAATTCTGAGTCAGTAGAACTAGAGCGATACCCAGAAATCTGCATTTTGGTAAACACCCAGTGAATCTGATACAGGTAGTCCTCAAAAAAAACTTTAGAAAAATTAAAATACATCTATTCAGAATTTATAACACCCAAAGATGAGAAAAATGTGTCCTTTAAAACCTAGGAAAGCTCTGATACATTTGGCTATGTTAAAATTTAGACTTTTATATAAAAAAAAAGAGCACAGATATTCTCAAAGACAAATGAAAAACTGGGGAAAATATTTATAATATTTTTGATGTTTATGATAGCAGAGCTAATTTCTTTGTTTTATTTTTTTAATTTAAATAATATGAAAAAAGGAGCAACTAAAAGAAAAATTGTACATAGAGAACTACACAAAGAATATGGAGAGAGAGGCTACAAATAAAAAAATATGCTGTTGGGTATACAGTGTAGGATAAGTTGTAAGGAAATCAGAACTGTCATCCACACTGGTGTATATCTATATTGGTAAACTCTTGAAAGAAGATTTTGTAATGTCTTTCAAAATGTTAGATGCCCGCCCAGGAGTTATACATACTCCTAGGAATTTACTTCATGAATATACTCACAAAAGCATGTATATGGAGTATCTTCATTGCAGCATTGTTTGCAAGAGCCGCAAATGAAAAATAATCTATGGTCCACCCATCACAGTGGAATACGCCACTAAAAAGAGGAAAATAGGTCTGAATACAGATCCCAGATACATCCGGGGGAAAACACAATATGGATAGCAACGTACATAGAATGTTTACATTTGCTTAAATTTTATAGGTATTCATAAAATTGTTCTAGAATGCAGTAAGCTAATTCCCACCTTTGGGAAAGGGGTCTGTTTGGCAAGAGTGTTGTACTTTTCATTTTATCAAATTTTTTCCTATTTGAATTTGTACCAAATCTAAATTGCATGTAATTTAAAATATTTTAAATTATTTTAATGCTATCTTGTTTGAACAGATGCTTCTTAGGCTAAAAATTGTTACTTTATCCTGTACAGACATTAGAATTTGGTATCTCGTGTGCATGTGTGTGTGTTTCTGTGAATTTTAATGTTGAGCTATTTGTTTTATCAGGTGATTGCCCATTGATTGTTCAGTTTGCTGCTAATGATGCAAGAATTTTGTCTGATGCTGCTCGTATAGTCTGTCCTTATGCGAATGGAATAGACATTAACTGTGGCTGTCCTCAGAGGTAAAGCTCAAAGAAGTTGGAAGAATTTTCAAAAAGATTAGGAAAAACTATGTGAACATGGTAAACTATCATTCTGGTATTCCAAAAATTAAAAAGTAAGGAAAATAGAGATAAAGAACTTGGGCTCTAAATAAGAAGCAAGAAAAAATAAGGAAATATTATTTAGAAACATACATGCAAAGATATTTTCTGATGGCTACAACAATATATAGACCCTTAACAAGTTTTTGTCTCACCTCACCACTAGAATTTTTTTTATGTGTGGATCTGCCTTGAACCTCATCCATAAGTAATTATGTGAGACTGATGTTTATGGCAATCCCTAAAATGTATTTTTACTGCTCTGTCAGACATACTTGCTCTAAACACTATGATTCTATGATTTGGGAGATCACTTGTTTTCTCTTACTTAATTTCAGTTATAAGAAAACCTTCTTATAATTACCTTTTCTTCCTATACCATAGTTATTTGGTTGAGTCTGAGTAACTGGGTGTTGATAGGATGTACTTATTTTGACGATAACATCCCTACCTTCCTGGCACTATACTAGATTATCTGTCAATAATTCAAAATGTGTTCAAAGAATAAAATCAAGGTTTTATGTATAGCATAATCCAAATCAGATTAGATATATTTGAATACTCATTAGGAGAGTTCAGTAAGCTGTTTAGTGGTATTGGAATGCTGTAAGCCAAAAATATCTTTCCTCTAAAGATTAATAAAACCTCTTGTTATGTACAATAAACATCAAATTTGGAATTTAAAAAATGTGAAGTAATTGCAGTTACAAATACTTAAATCTGTTTTGGTTGAATGAACTTTAATTTTCTCACTTGCCAGTGAAAACCATTTCCCCTAAGTATTTCTTGATCTGGGAACATGTTTTCCTAATCTCAATACACTTAGAAGTGTTGGATCTATGAATTTTAAAAATCTGGTTCCATTCCAGCTTGCTAGGTAGAGAAATAATAAATGCACTTACTGTGCTTTTAGAATTGTATCTTCTCTTCCAGCTGATAACAATTTATTTGTTGTTGTGTTTACTTTATGAAGGTGGGCATTGGCAGAAGGTTATGGAGCTTGCTTAATAAACAATCCAGAGCTTGTTCGAGACATGGTGAAACAAGTAAGAAATCAAGTGGAAAATCCCAGATTTTCAGTATCTATTAAAATAAGGTAAAGATAATATTTTAATCTACTGACAAGATAGTCCATTACTCAGGAAATAAAAGAATATTCCTTTTGTCTGAAGGTGTGGAGATGTCTACTCTTAGTAAGTAGGCATCTAGTATATGAAAATGTTAAAACAAAACATTTAGTAAATGAATAGATACCATAATTTTTATTTATAATCCAAAACAATTTCTTCTTCTCATTTTTAAAGAAAAATTAAAATATCCCTTTATTATTAAAAACTCTCTCCCAAGAGAAACAACTTTTTCCATGTACTATTTAATTAACTAATGCTAAGAGACATTCCTGATACCAAGAGTAGAAAATAGGAATGATATTTGCACTAAAATTTCACAGTGAAAAGAAAATAAACTAAAAATTAGTCTTTTGGTGACAGGTTAAAAACAAATCTCAAGATAAATTATTATAATTCTCCCACTTGCGGATTGGAGCATGCACAGCAAATATTAAGATAGCACCTTTCAATGCATCTGTGACAGTACTTTGATGAATCTTTCAGTTATCAAAGCCAAAAGAGAGGAGCACTGGGTAAAAGTTATTTGTCATCCTATTGTTACCGATAGTGAAATAGCTAAATTCAGGGTCTTGAATGGGAACTGATTCCTGAACAAAACCTCACTGATAGCGGCACGTGGTGATAATATGATATAGCATAGCTAAACTAAATAATGTAACAGATGAAATATTTTTCTATTTAGTTTATTGATGTTAGCATTAAGATTTGTGTGCTGTGAAAAGATAGATATGATTTTGAAATTATAGGATCCATGATGACCTTACAAGAACTGTAGATCTTTGTCGAAAGGCTGAAGCGACAGGGGTTTCCTGGATTACAGTCCATGGCAGAACTGTTGAAGAAAGGCATCAGCCAGTTCACTATGAGGCCATTAAAATAATTAAGGAAAATATGTCTATACCTGTAATTGCTAATGGAGACATCAGAAGCTTAAAAGAAGCAGAAAATGTGTGGCATATTACTGGGACAGATGGTAAGAAATAATTACTTTAGGTTTTTTGTTTTTTAATTAGCAGAAAAATTAAAAAGTGGGGGTGGGAGAATAATGTTAATGTGATTTTCATTATTTTTCTTTCATATGGAGCCATATTTTCCTGTTTTACCAATTTAAGCCAAGCAATTTACTAAAATGATGTTAATCCATCTACTTAGAAACAACAGATTATTTTAATTGGGGTAAATTAGTTCAGTTAATTCTCTGCCACCATCTCATCCAGTTAGTGACCACTAGAGCCTATAGAATTCGTGAATCCAAGAGTGGTCATAGGAGCCAAAGAAACCCCAGACTGCTATGCAGTTTCATTATCCTCTTCAACTTTGGCATACCAAGCCCTGTGATACCTATTGCTGGATGAGAGAATGCAGATAAACTTCAAGCAAACCCAATTTATGACAATCCAGATTTACTCTTAAAAAAATCCGGAAAACTAATTTTTTAATGTAGAAGTCTTTAAAATATAAGAAAAAAAGTCTTGTGAGTTCATTTACACTTAATTGGTTTATAAAAAATACCAAAATGAATCCTTTAATAAGAATTAGTCTAATACAAGGGCATTGTGAAACCTTGTAATAATACTTTATTTTTGAATATTCTCAGTTTGTTTCATAGAGTTTGACCCTATAACCATGAGTTCTTAATGTGTGGACAAACGTGATGTGCTTTAATTTATAGGTGTGATGGTTGCAAGAGGACTCTTAGCCAACCCGGCCATATTTGCTGGATATGAGGAAACCCCACTGAAATGCATCTGGGACTGGGTTGACATTGCTCTTGAACTTGGAACTCCTTATATGTGTTTCCATCAACATTTAATGTACATGATGGAAAAGATAACTTCGAGGCAGGAAAAAAGAATATTTAATGCTTTGTCAAGCACATCAGCAGTCTTAGATTACCTTACAGACCATTATGGGATTGACTGGACTCCCTAAATTATTTTCTATCTTTAGTGAAACCACCCAGGGTCACATCTTGGTTTTCACTTTGAATCAGTGGCTCTCAAACATTAGTATAAAAACAATGCCCTGACAGAATTTTTAAAACTCATTCTTAGACCATATCCTCAGAGATTCTGATTCAGTAAATCTCTAGGGTGGACCCAAAATTTAGTTTTAAAGAAGACCCCAGGTGGTTCAAACATTGACAAACATTGCTCTGAATCCTATTATGAATTTAAAACTGTAAGAATTTTTTTCTTAAAGGAATCATGTTTTTAACATTTTTAAATAAATAAAACTTTTTATTTTGATACTAAAAGTATGACTCATGGTATCTGTAAGTTAACATTAGGTATGTTTTAAATGAAAATAAGAGAAAAGTGTGAACAAATTCCAACATCTGTATAAAATGAAAAGGAACAAGAAATTCTGTATAGAATTGCATTCAGGGCTTAAATTAAAAGTTCAGATTGGAAAATCAAACTGCTACTTCCTAATTCATGAATTACACACCTCAAGGTATTTCTTTAAATTGTATGTAATAGAAGTTAATTAGATGTGATGTTTTCTATAATTTAAAACTACGATTCCATGAAATTCTTTAAATGATATTAAATTTGTTACATTTCGAGCCTTCTAAATCTTTAGAAGATTGAGAGCTTGGTAAATATACCTGTACGTAAAATGATGTTAATTTCTGTCCCCCACATCTTAAATATAAAAAAATTTGGTAGCTAATCTGGAGATGATTACTCAGTCAGCCCTCGGTGCTAGACCACTTTGTATATGGGACTTGAGCATCCACAAATTTTGGTACCCACAAGAGTCCTAGAACCAGTGCCCCACAGATTCCAAGGGACAGCTGTGTATTTGAAATATTATTTCCTGGAGAACAGTAACCAGGTTTTATTTTTAATTTAAAAACCTAATTTTCATACCCTGTTAATAGTAATGTTATTTTTATGCTTCCCAGCAGTTGATGATAATTTTAACTTTAAAGTTCCATGGTTTAGGGAATTCTCTAGCGGTCCAGTGCTTAGGACTCCTTGCTTTCACTGCCAACGGTGCAGGTTCAATTCCTGGTGGGGGAACTAGGACCCCTGGAAGCTGTGTGGCACAGCCAAAAAAACTAAAAAAAATTTTTTAAATAAAGTTCCATGGTTTGGGGATGTCACTAACAGAATTTTGTTGGTGGTTAATGTGCCACTGCAATAATTATCTCAGGGACTTCCCTGGTGGCACAGTGGTTAAGAATCTGCCCGCCAATGCAGGGGACATGGTTTCGAGCCCTGGTCCAGGAAGATCCCACATGCCGCGGAGCAACTAAGCCCATGTACCACAACTACTGAGCCTGTGCTCTAGAGCCCGCGTGCCGCAGCTACTGAGCCCACACGCCGCAACTACTGAAGCCCGCTGGCCTAGAGCCCGTGCTCTGCAACAAGAGAAGCCACTGCAACGAGAAGCAAGTGCACCACACGAAGAGTAGCCCCCGCTGGCTGCAACTAGAGAAGGCCCGCAAGACCCAACACAGCCGCCCCCAAAAAAAAAATTATCTCAGGTTAAGATAAAACAGTTCTGTAATTAAGATATTGGTCTATATTACCAACATAAAAACTGTTATAAGGAGACAATTATCTAAAACTGCTTAATTCAACAGTTTGGGAATATTAAATAAATCCTTTTTAACATAAGCACTATGTTGCCATATTTTTTTTAAGGTACATTCTGTGCTTTCATTTTTCAATTAACGGATCTTTAAAGATAACTGGCTTTTTCATTAAATATGAGTAGTATATTAGCAAATAGGGAGCTATAGTCAAAACTTAGTGATTTTTACGTTTGTAAATTAACTCTGTTACACCAGTGTTCTGAGGACAGCAGCATTATTAAAGTAAGGTGCACAGCCGTTCAAGGAACCAGTGTAGAAAAGCAAGGAGTTCTAAACGCCTTTGATTTTTTTTTTTAAGTTCCTTATGGTTAATTTATGTTGTCTTTTTTTCTTTTCTATGTAATCAAGTATACTTGTGGTAAGAGAAAGCACTGATTTAAATGTGTTTTTATATTCAGTAACCACCTCTTGTTTTCACCATTTGTTTAATCTTCCCAAAATAATCATCTCCAGGAGAATACTTTTATGTGCATTTCTGACACATTGTTAATATTGGGGGGAAAATCTTTAAAATTTTGAGTGTTTTCACGCAGTTTGAAAACCTGTTAAAGAGTAATTGAAAGAATATACCCATACCCACGTTGTTCTCCTTTCCAGTCAGTCCCCAAACATCACCCAAAAGTGTACTGCCTCTTCCCAGCGCATGGACGAGAGTAGAAAACGTCACACGAAGTGTATGTTGGACGCTACCTATCCTCCTATATTCCCCGAACAAAATGCGGCACAACCAGCTTGTTCTGGACAACGAAACTGTGTCTACGGTAAAATACAAACCAGGAAAGGAGTGTTTTAACCACGTTCACTGAGTGTGCAGCACCCTATCTAACCCTGCCGCCCCGGCGCCACTCCTCGCCGCGGACTCCAGCAAGCCCTTTCAGAACGTCGGTTAAGCTCACCCCTCCCACGCAAGCCACACTTCATTAGAAATGTTAAGTCCGCTCCCCAGAAGAAGTTGCACTTGGGAACCCAAGCAGCAGATCTGACCCTCTAATCCACCACCAATTAGAAAACAATTATTGCTAATCATCTTGTTCGCACGCCTGCCACGTCGCCTGGGACCGGCCCCCGAGACCGGAATTGGGAGATGGAGCCTGCGGGGCTGCGGGTGGGGGCGGGGCGCGCTCCCCTCCGCCCGCCGCGGCGTGTGACGTCCCACGCGTCGGCGGCCGCGGAGCAGCGCGGGGAGCCAGGCGGTCTCAGGTGGGGTAAGGCCGGGCGGGACGTCTGGGGGCCTCGGGCCCCGAGGCGGCGTGGAGCGCGGGGTCGCACCGCACTCGCCGCGGTGGGACCGCGGGGTGGGCTCTGCTCCGCGGCGCGTTCGCTGGGCGGGAGGTCCCCCGGGCGCGGAAGTTAGTAGAGGCTGGCGTTAGGCTACTGACGCCGTGGGAAAGCACTTCCGCGGTGCCGCTCAGGCCTCCTGGCCAGTTCTGCAAGGCTCGCTGGGGAGGTGCAGACGCCGGCCTCCGGGCCCACCCTCGACCCGCTCCCTCCCCTCCCCCAACTTCCCGCCCCGGGTCTCTGCCGGGCGCCTCCCGTTGAGGGGAAAGTCTGATCCCATAAACCTTCTGGCCGGAAACCTCGCGCGCCGGGGGCCTTTCCTTAAACTGAATTTTCTTGGAAAGGCGGTAGGGTGAAATAAATGTTTCTCTATTTAGGTGTGAAGAAAAAAAATGACACTTCAATGGGCGGCAGTTGCAACTTTTCTTTACGCTGAAATAGGACTCATTTTAATCTTCTGTCTACCTTTTATTCCTCCTCAGAGGTAGGAAACCTCCCAAGCGTTACAATAATAAATATATGATGAGCTCTTTAGACGGTTTAGTGTGTTAACGGAAAAAGTTTTCTTAAGATTAAAAAGGTTTCAGTGCTGTTTATATAAAAGGCACTGTTCCGAAATAAACTCACAAACCAATTAGATATATGATGACCATATTAAAATATCACATTACATAAAACTTTTTATTATATGTACAAATAACTTTTCCACCTCTCTTCTATAGGAAGGGCCTCGTCTTTTCTGTTCTTTTGATTGCAGATGTAATAAAGCAATGGTCATACTTTTGTCACCTGTCTTGTCGTTAGCTTTCACCTTCGTTTTATTGCCCTGAATTACAGCAGTGAACTTAAATAAAAGTAAATGCATAAGTGCTGTTTACAGCACAGCATGATGCAGAAATGTTTCAGTGAGGCAGTGGAATGACCATTTGGAAACTTAAGCCAATAAATGATTCTTAGTTTTGGCCTTACATAATTCATTAGTGTTCGTTTAATGGCAGTTTTACCACTTTATCCTCACACAGAATTAATATATATTAAACGTACTAAATATGAAAAGTATCAGAACCATATATTAGCATTAGTTCCTTAGTAAAGCACCTTCGAAGGTCTTTCAGTACTATTTCGATCGAAGCCTTGGCTCACTTTACCCCTGTAATAACCCACTTATTAGGAGTTCAGTTTTACCTCGGGACTGAGTAGTGTGAATGATAAAATACACCTGCATAAAAATGTTGCAAGACATTTGTTCACATAAAAGAAAATAAATGAGACCTAGAGATAACCCACTGAAATTTAGTAAGATTCCTCTACTGGAAGAGACCTAAGAAAGTTTTTATCTTGACTCAGGGTCCGGTAGTCTTCTGTTTTTGTCTATCAGCTGTAGCATCACTATTTTCTTTCTTACAGAAAGAAAAATTGAATTGTTATGTAGGAAGCGGCCTTTGAGATGATTTTATTCAACCCATTCATTCTATGGGAAAGTGGCCTGACTGAGGTCATCTAGCTGATCTGTGGCAAATTCTGGACTAGAATCTGCCTTTCAGTCTAGTGCTTTTTCTGTTCCATCACCCTATCTCTTATCCTGTTGATTTTGTTTCAAATCCTTACTAATACCCTGTTAAGCTTTTTGGTAATACTTGCAACAGTAGAATCCTGTATTCAAGAGAAAGATGTTATTTATAAACATCTGAATTATAGATAAGGCTTAAGAATTTGCAAAAAAATTTTCTTTGTCAGTTGATCTCTTCTCCATCAAAATCGTGCATAAATTATGGATTCTTTTCCTGCCAAATATAATTTTTTCCTATCCTGATCAAGTATCTGTTAGATTTGTGTATATGTACATACATTATATAAATATATCCTCATGGACAAATATACTTAAGAAAAATATGTTATATATGCACACAGATAATTTACAATATGTCCTTAACGTGTGTATCCACGTCGTTTTTTACCTTTCATACGTGTAATCACCATAGTCTTCAAGGAAAAGTCTTCAGTCTTCATTTAATTTGGCTGTCCACTTTTTTCTCACATACCCACTGGTTAAAGACACATCTCAGAGATCAGACTGCCTGGGTTTATATCCCAACTCTGCAAGTTACTGTGTGCCCTTGGGCAATTTATTTACCATCTCTGGCCAGTTTCCTCATCTGTAAAATGGAGGTAATACTAGTATCCACCTCATATGGTGGTTGTGGAGATTAAATGAGCTAAAACATGTACAAGTGCTTAGAAGGGAAGTATGGTAAGGACTCTATATAGTAGCTGTTATTAGCTTTACCTTGAATGGAGCCTTATTATAAACTGCTCATTGTTCCGTGTAGGGGGTCTCTTTTGTGTTCCCTTTTATACTGTCAATTTACTTGAAATGTGAATTTACATTTGGACCTAGATCAAGGTATTGCCACTTATGTTCTCTTTCTTAAAATACAAATCTTTGTAATGTAAAATTTGAATAGCATCCTTGGATGGAAGCATAGAGGCAAAAGAAACTGCATTGTATCAATCTCTGTCTCCCCCAAACTTAAGGTTATTAGAGTTGTTTTCAAAACATAATAAAGTAAGACCTTTTTTTTTAAGTTGTAAGAATTTGAAATTTACTTAAGCGCTTATTACCGTTGTATGTCTCCTCTGGACTCAGTTAATGTGTTACTCATTTAAAATGCCCTTGTGCAAAGTTTGTTACCCTTTCAGTTGTGTGATGGATTACTTTGTCACTCTTTGCCATTTATAATCCATGCTTTCTTACCTCTGTGTCTTTGCTTATACTGTTCATTCCATCTAGACTATTTCATTTTTTTTTAATTTCACTTTCTCAGGTATTTATCTGGGTGGTAATTACATAGGTATATACACACATAGAAGTCCATCAAGCTATACATATATTAAATATATATACACATATATAAATTTATATATATTTTTGTTTGTTTGTTTTTTGGCCACGCTGCGCTGCTTGTGGGATCTTAGTTCCCCAACCAGGGATTGAACCCAGGCCCTCAGCAGTGAAAGCTCAGAGTCCGAACCACTGAACCGCCAGGGAATTCCCTTTCACGCTACATATTTAAGATTTTTGCTCTTTACTGTGTATGTGTAATACCTCAATGATTTTTTAAATTTCCTTATGGTAAAAGTAGAGAAACTTTTTTACTTGGAGTAGATGTTGAAAGCACATGTATTTTTTTTCATTATTAAAATAAATAGTGCAGAGTCGGACCTCTTACCCCTGAAATGTTGTTAATTGTTAGAACAATAGATCTTTGTTATTTCTGAGTTACTGTCCTGATTATATATATTATGATATAAAGTGATAACTTCTATCAGCAATTTAATATTTTACTATAAGAATTCCTTTTTAAGGTTTTGATCATGTACATTTGCTTTAAAAGTTATTTTTACTTTAGAATATTTAAGCCACCAGACAGAAGATAATCAAATGTCAGATTATTATTAAATTTGAAAGAGGTTGTTCTTTATTTCATGAGACATTCTTATTGGTAAGAATTGGTAATTCTCTGGTATGACATAAAAAATTAAATTTCTGTAATTCTTTTCACTCGCTGCACAATTACCAAAATGTTAATTCAGTATTTAGAAAGTATCTCAAAATGTCCCTTTGATTTTTTACACCTGATGTAATTATATTGCTTTACAGATGGCAGAAGATTTTTTCATTTAGCGTCTGGGGTAAAATTGCAACTTTCTGGAACAAGGCTTTCCTTACTATTATAGTCCTATTGATTGTTCTGTTTCTAGGTAAGTATTAGATTCCTCCTTTGACGAAGCTTAACTCTAGTTTTTATATTATTATTAATGCATTCATTGATTTTTAATTAATTAAGTTGGTGTTGCCATTAGTATAGAGTTGACTTTATGTTACATAGTATATTGACAGTGTATGGAGTAGATAATTGATACATTGATAAAGAGTTGATAGACATTACTGTTATATACGCACAGGCATAAATTGCAGCAGAGTGCAGTGCTTCTTAATCTCTTTCCTGTTGTTTTAAGATTTCAATGCAGTGATGCATAGCCTAGTTTTCAGAATTACCAGTTATACAGTCATTTGTTATTTTGGTGTCCTAGGCACCCAGGGGCTTAGCTCTTAGGGAGGCAAATAGAGGAGTAGAATCACTAGGACCTCAAAAAGAGTTTTAGATGCAGGCTGTGAATCTTGATTGGATCCTGGTCGAAAAACAACAACAGCACAGATATTTAGGGACTACTGCAAAAATTTGAACATGGACTGGTTGTTAGATAATCCTAGGGAATTTCTGTTAACTTTAGTTGTGATAACAATGTTATTATTATAAACAGAAGGCAGCAACCTACAGCCTGCAGACCAAATGCCTATTTTTGTAAATAAAGTTTTATTAGAATATAACCATGCCCATTTATTTATGTACTGTCTATGCATGAACAACTGCAGAGTGGAGTAGTTGAAACAGAAACGGTGTGGCCTAAAACATTCACTGTTTGCCTTTAGAGAAAAAGTTTCTCTAAAAATTTCACACCTGTGACATAGGAGTATGTCCTTATGCTTAGGAGTTGCATGCTGAAATATTTAGAAGTGTCATGATAGTTACAACTTACTTTCAAATGGTTAAAAGAAAACAAGTAAAGCAAATGTGGCAAAATGTTAATTGTTGAATCTAGATAGTGGAGTATGGATGTTTATTGTACTAGTTTTTCAGCATGTTTGAAATTTTCATGATAACAAGTACCTTAGAAATTAGAAATCAGAAGTAGACTTTTTTTTGTTTGAAGTGGAAAAGAATAGCTTTATTGCTTTGCCAGGCAAAGAGGGCCACAGTGCGCTAATGCCCTCAAAACTGTGTGTCCTGACCTGGATTGGGTCGTAAGGAGTTTTATAGTAATGGTTCAAAGAGGGCATGATCAGCTCGTGGACATTCTTCTGACTGGTTGGTGGTGAGGTAATTGGGTGTCAGCACATCAACGTTCTGGTTCCAACCGGTCTGGGGTCTATGTGCTTGTGGGCAGCATGCAATTAGCTTCTTCCACTTGGTTGGCGTTTCAGTATCTCAAAAACGTGCAGATTTTTCCATCGGTTCCAACCGGTCTGGGGTCTATGTGCTTGTGGGCAGCATGCAATTAGCTTCTTCCACTTGGTTGGGGTTTCAGTATCTCAAAAACGTGCAGATTTTTCCATCATTTCCCCTTTTGATTGTAGGTCTTTCAGTAGGAATCACTGATGAGCAGAATATCTGTCTCTTGATGCCAGGGTGATTCAGCTTCTTGCCGTGGGTGCAGATCATGTCCCTTGGTGGTAGACCTCCTTTATATTTGCCCAGATGCTGGTGGAGGTATTGTGACGTCCAGACAAGACTTTTCTCTAAAAGTAGACCTTTAAGGTTCTTATCAAACTGGAAATTCCATGAATCGAAATAGTTACCATGTTTTTTAGAAGGAGTAGCTGAGCTCAGAGAGATTAAGTAACTTGTCTGAGATCACCCAGCTACTTCTTGGCACTTCAGTTTTTGATACCCATTGCAGAGTGTATTTTCCCTCAGAATTCCCTCTGAGTTGTGTTGTGGGTTAGGTAGGTTTTACAGGGGCCATAACCACCACGTATGCCACTGTCTTATGAGAAAATGTTTTCTCACATTCCATATTACCAACCTCTGGGGTGGAATCCTCTTTATAAACCAGGATTAACTGGTGTGAGAAGGTATGAGTAGGTAATTGTATCAGGGTATGAATGGGTTTATGCCTCATTTCAAAATGTATTTGTCTCATGGTAAGTTATTAATGTTACTGATTGAATCTCCAGCCGTAGAAGAAATAACACCAAGCGAGTAAAAAGCAATAAGGAAAACAGGTACCAACTTTGCCACCAGCTAACTAAATGACCTTTGGAATGGCATTTCATCTCTCAGAGTTTGGTTTATCCATTTGCAAAATAAAGGGAGAGAGGAAATAATCCCTGCAGCTCTTGCTAGCTCTAGAAGTGTATTGTGACCTTCCAACTCTAAAATTATCACAAGAATTTCTACTGAAAACTGCCACATATCCATATAAGGAAGGGGAACTTTAGCCAAGCTTCTTTTGGTTACATATATCAGAAATGAACTTCAGCTCACTTGAGCAAGAAAGGGGAATTTAAAGTAAAATACGGGGTTGTTCCACAGCAGCCCAGGGAAGGAAGGAAGCCAAACTCCTAGGAACTGAAGTGTCCTTTTCGTGTCCCTGCATTTCTCACTGGGTCTACTTCACATCTCTACAGACTCTGATACTCTATTCCCACGTCAGAAAATAGGTACCATACAGCTGCCAAGTTTTGTCAATCCAGCGATATGCAAGGATTAATTAGCCATTTCTTTTTTTTTTTTTTTTTTTTTTTTTGTCTGTGCTGCACAGCAAGGCATGTGGGATCTTAGTTCCCCTACCAGGGATGGAACCCACACCCCCTGCATTGGAAGTGCAGAGTCTTAACCACTGGACCGCCAGGGAAATCCCTAACTAGCCATTTCTGAATCCCAATTCCAATTCTAAGGGAAAAAATCTGATCAGCTAGCACCAGGTATCCAATCCTCATCTGAGAAGCTATGGCCAGGGGCAGGGTCACAGAGCAGAATCATGACTGCTGGCTGGAGCCTACATCTGTGGGCAGAGGGAGTAATTAATTCCCAGAGAATAGGAACATCATGGATGGTTAATGCAGGAGCTTTAACCATGGATGGTAAAGACAGGCAGATAGGGACTTATCCGTGAAGCCTCAGTGTTTCCATCTCAGAACAGGGGGATAACACGTACTTCACTGAAGTGTCGGAAGGATAAAATGCAGTTACATAGGTAAAGTACATAGTCCGGTGTTCTCGTCCACTAGAACAACACTGGTGTAAGTAATGTAAACCCAGTAGGTTTGAATTACTCAAGCTTAATTCATCTTTTATTTTGGAATTTTTTTTCTTGTTGGTCTAATAAGGTAATTATTACAAGGTGTTAACATTCCTAGAGCCAATACTAACTGAAAAGTGTGTGTGCATCTGTGTGTGTTTTAGCACGTTGGAATAGGCAGAAAGGAAGTAGGAAACCCAGGAGAATGTGTTTAGTGTCAGCACAAATGCATCTTGGGAATTTGAAAGCGTCCACGAGTGATCCAAAAAAAGACTATCTCTGTGTGCCTTATAGAAAATTGACTTTGTCACACCCTCCCCTTATTGTTGCCCCCATCCCACTTTTCATACATGTTCTCTTCGTTATTATGCAAGCAATTCATTCTACAAATGGGTTTTTATGACTATTTACATTTATTCTTTGATAGTGCTTAATCTTTAGCATTTCTGCATAATGGATCCAGGAGTATTATTCCTGTTTAATTGCCAATGAGTAATGATCTTCACAGTATTATGAATTATTTTTATGAGTTATGTTTGCTTTATTTTTGTTTTGTAGTGATTGGCATGCTCTTACTATATTGAGGCAATCTGAGAAATAACTAAGCCATGAAAAAGAATGAAATCTTGCCAGTTGTGTCAACATGAATGGACCTTGGGGCATTATGCTATGTGAAATAACTCAGACAGAGAAAGACAAATACTGTATGAACTCACTCATATGTGGAATCTTTAAAAAAATAAAATCAAGCTCATAGACGCAGAGAACAGATTGGTGGTTGCCAGGGGTGGGTGGTGGGCAAAATGGGTAAAGGGAGTCAAAAGATACAAGCTTCCAGTTATAAAATAAATAAGTCATGGAGACGTAATGTACAGCATGGTGACTATAGTTAGTAATACTATATTGCATATTTGAAAATTGCTAAGAGAAAAGAAAAAAAATTCTGTAACTATGTATGATGATGGATGTTAACTAGACTTGTGGTATTTTACAATATATACAAACATCGAATCTTTTTTTTTAATTAGCAAATTAGGAATAGAAGGAGACTTCATCATTCTGATGAAGAACATGTACAAAACCTAGAGCTAGCATCATCCTTAGTCAGATGTTGAAAGTTAGCCCCATAAGATTGGGAAGAAAGCAAGGATATTCACTTTCACTATTTTTATTCAATTAAGTAATAGATTTTCTTTTTTTTTTTTAATAGTGTTTATTTTTACTTGTTGATAGTTTGCTTTATTTATTTATTTATGGCTGTGTTGGGTCTTCGTTTCCATACGAGGGCTTTCTCTAGTTGTGGCAAGTGGGGGCCACTCTTCATCGTGGTGCGCGGGTCTCTCACTATCGCGGCCTCTCTTGTTGCGGAGCGCAGGCTCCTGATGCGCAGGCTCAGTAATTGTAGCTCACGGGCCCAGTTGCTCCACGGCATGTGGGATCTTCCCAGACCAGGGCTCGAACCCATGTCCCCTGCATTGGCAGGCAGATTCTCAACCACTGAGCCACCAGGGAAGCCCAAGTAATAGATTTTCTAACCAGGATAATCATGTCAAGAAAAACTAGAAAGCATAAAGATTGCAAGTTAAAAAGTAAAACAGTCATTTGCAGATGACATGATTGTTTATTTAGAAAATCCTAAAGTATCTACGAGAAAGTTACTGTGTCAAAGAAATATAGTGGCATCAAAAAATACAAGGTCAATATACAGAAATGAAGTGTCTTTCTATGCTATAATCAATAATTCAAAAATGAAATTTTTGAAAATTCCTTTTATAAATATACCAAGAAACCTAAAAACCTTACAAAAAAACTTTATAAAAAGATGTACAAGATCACAACGCTGAAAGCTACAGAAACATTGCTGGAAGGAATTAAAGAAAATGGAAAATAAAAATATCAATTGGAAAACTCACTATCATTGCAATGAAATAGCACTTCATACCCACTAGGATGGTTATAATCAAAAAGACAGAAAATAACAAGTGTTGATGAAGATGTGGAGAAATTGGAACCATCATACTCTGCTTGTTGGAATGTAAACTGGTACAGCTGCTTTGGAAGACAGTTTGGCAGTTCCTCAAAAAGTTAAACATAGAGTTACCATATGATCCAGCAATTCCACTCCTAGGTATATACCAAGAGAAATGAAAACTTTTGTCAGTACAAGAACTTGTACATGAATGTTCATGGCAGCATTATTCTTAATAGCCAAAAAGTGGAGAAAATCCAAATCATCTCATGAATGGATAAACCAAATGTGGTGTATCTGTACAATGGAATATTTTTCAGTCATAAAAACTAACAAAGTGGACTTCCCTGGTGGCACAGTGGTTAAGAATCCACCTGCCAGCGCAGGGGACACGGGTTTGAGCCCTGGCCTGGGAAGATCCCACATGCCGCAGAACAACTAAGCCCGTGAGCCACAACTACTGAGCCCGCGTGCCACAACACTGAAGCCCACTGCCTAGAGCCCATGCTCCGCAACAAAAGAAGCCACCGCAATGAGAAGCCTGTGCACCGCAACAAAGAGTAGCCCTCGCTCACCACAACTAGGCAAAGCCTGTGCGCAGCAACAAAGACACAACACAGCCAAAAAAAAAAGTAAAGGATAATAGTTTGCCATGTAGGTAGAGATTAGACAGTGCAGTGATGGTAAGTCCTAGATGACTAATAAAAAAGCAAAATACTGTTAACATTCAAAGTTTACCAGTATCCACTTACAGAGCATCTGTTTCGAGCATGGTACCCTCCCATGTATTGTAGAGGAAAGACAAAAAGAGAGCCCCTAGCTAAAGTCCGCTATCTAACAGTTAGGTCAGTTGTGCTAAAACTGCTTCCCGTTTTAATAATAACCTTATATTCTTAAAAGCCAAAAGTAATATTCCCTCTTTTTCTCTGATAGATGCTGTGAGAGAAGTAAGAAAATATTCCTCAACTCATGCCATTGAAAGCAGCTCAGCCAGCAGACCTGCTGCCTATGAACATACACAGATGAAACTTTTTAGGTCTCAAAGAAATCTTTACATTACTGGATTTTCATTATTTTTCTGGCTGTAAGTTTTTTAAAAAGCACAATTTAAAAACGTGATTTGTGTTTCTCTTTCTCATTTTTTCTACCTATACTATAGTTTGTTTTTTTTTCTGTACTATTTAGCATACTAACGTCTTTATGAAAGAACTCAGATGACAGATCCAAATAACAAATAGTAATTGTGGCTTGTAGGTTCTATAGGCCCATAACGCCCTGCATGATCTGGCGCCTGCTGCTCTGACGTGTACACCACGTTCCAACCACACTGCCCTTCGCTGCTCATTCATTCATCCATTCTTGCAACAAATATTTATTGAGTTCCTGTTGTGTACCCAGCTCCTTCCTGCTTCAGGATCTTCCCACCAGCTTTCCCTTCTGCCAGAATACTCTTTCCTTCCGTCTCTCCCTGGCTAATTTCTACTTTAGCCCCTTTCTCAGGAAAGCTGAGACCTCTGACCATCATTCCCCCAAAGTAGGAAGGTCTTCTGTTGTACACTCCCATAGAATGTGTAATGTATATACTTTTCTTTCAAGTGTCATTCGTGATTGTAATTAAATACTGTTTTAATTCTTCCCTTCCCAAGTAGAACCTAAACTCTGAGAGCAGGGCCTCTGTCTTGTTTCCTGCTATGTCCCCAGTGCCTGGCACAGTGTTTAACACTTAGCAGTTCCTGAGGAAATATCTGCTGAATGAATAAATGAAGATAACGATTACTACTACTAACAAAGGAAGTTACCTATAAGTAGAAGTGAATGAGCAGTTTTTAGGTTTGGCCAGCCTCACAAAATGCTCTTTAAATTTTTTGCTGAGGGGGAAAAACTCTTACTGGCCCTGCCACACTGTCTGGAATTCTGTTTCTTCTCGTCCTGGCCAAAGGCCTCTACAGAGAAAATAAGTAAATTAATAAGTAGCACTGAACCTGCATTCCAAATGCTAATCTTCTAACGAAGATTCCAAAGAAATGAGACACAGGCTTGTTTTGACTGGAAGACTTGAATTAAAAATATATCTTCCTTCCGTAAACATCACCTCCCTCCACCACACCCACACCTGAAGGGGAGTCACTGGATAGTTATTACTTAAAGTCACAGTTCCTGGTGATTAGTTGCACACTACTCTGACATTTTTTTCATTTTCTTAGAGTGTTGAGACGTCTGGTTACCCTTATTACTCAGCTGGCAAAAGAGCTGTCAAACAAAGGAGTACTTAAAGTTCAAGCAGAAAATACTAACCAGGCTGCCAAAAAATTCATGGAAGAGAATGAAAGACTAAAACGGGTATTTAAATTTTCTTCTTGAAAACTGGTGTAAGTGTTATTGGTATTCCCAAGGGGCGGTTTATTATTTTTCAGCATCAGAAAGAGCATTTTCATAATATATAAGCAGAAAATGACCATAAATAACAATATTCTACAAAATTATTGTTTCAGAAGTATTTTATTATCTTTAAATTTGTGTGTTCTCACAGTTTCCCTCCATAGTAGATTAATGCCATTGGACCTACTTCCTATGATCCAAGGAGAAAACAGTATTCTGGGAATATGAATTTTAATTCCTTCATTACCATTAATTTTACTTTATAACCTAAAGCAAGTTTTAATAAGTCTCTATTATGTTTCCATTTCCCTTTCAGTTGAATTCCTGTTGGTTTTTTTGGTGTGGTTTTTTTTGTTGTTGTTGTTTTCTTTAAAAAACGAAAATAGTTGATATAGATTGATGACTGCATATAATATTTTCAATTTCTAATTTGGTTATGCTGTTGATAATTCTTCTTTGAGAACCCTATGCTGTCTTTCCCTGGCTACTCAGGGAGAGTGTAAATGAGATACTGATGTTTTTCATGTTAAGTAAAAAGAAGAACGAATGGAAAAATGGAAGATACAAAATCACTTCGGGTATTTTTTTTCTTAGGTTTAAAATTTAGGAGTCAGATCTCATAGCTTGAGTGTTTTCAGTTCATTTTAAGCCCCATAAGTTTTCCTGATTCTGCTTCTTAGAAAGAAATAATCAGTGGAACCTTCAGAAGTGAAACAACTTTTCTTGAAGAAAGAATTCCTAGCATAATGCAATAAGATTATCTCCCTATTATAAATTAATGAATTACAGTCAATTATATATTACATCAAATTATATTTATGTAAAAAGTATTGTGATCCTAAATTCTAAAGCCCAGCCTCTTACAGAAAGAACTATAAGCGTCACCTTTCATCAATGCTAAATGAGTTAGCTGTTACATAGTACAATATAAATCTTTCTAAAACCTATGAAATAAGTCAAACTCATTGCAAAAAAAATTTTTTGATACTACAGTGTCATGGTCACCTATTCAGAAACCCATGTTTTACTTATGACGTCTACCTTATTTTTACTACAAAAACAGGATTCAAAAATGTTTCTTTGGGTAGATTATAACCAACATCTTTTAAGGAAACTTTTAGAGAATAAGCACCGGTTTATATTTTTACTTCATTTTGTTCTGTTTTGAAAAAGCATTGATCCATAGATGCCATGTAACTTTCCCGTTGTCATAAATATAGGTCTGGGAAATCAAGCTGTCGGTATTTCTGTATTCAGAAACAAGCAATATACGTCACTGTAGTGTTTCAGCAGCACAGTCAGCCTTATTTTGTACCTTAATATTATTTGCTTCATTTTCTATCCTTTGATCTCATTTCATAATGGTAAAAACAAAACAAAACCCTCAAGGCTTTTATTAATATATGGTGGCTAAACTCAAAAGCACACAGCCAGTATTTGTAGACTTACCATGTACCGATCTTGATTTACCATGCCTATCATGTTAAAGTAGTGAGTTGTAACTACTAATAGAACACTGCTTTTTTCCTCTTATTCTTGAACTCCAAGAAAATGGAAAGTTGTTGTAGTTTTGGTACTATGATTTTTCTCATATATACCATAATTAATGTACTTAAATTAGTTTTGTCCTTCAGAAAAAGCACGTTCCTCAAAGCATTTCTTTTGGGATTGTTTTCAGAACCAGTTACTAACTTGCAAGGAAATTTACTGATTCTTTGATCTGCCACAGTGTCTCCCTTTTTTTGTTCTCCTCTCCTTTGGTTCCATGCTATCCTGGTTCCCTGCTTCTGCATATCTGTGGCCCAGTCAGTGGCCCTAGATCATAAGTGCATAGACATACTGGGCTAAAGCGAGTACACAGTGGGGAGAAAGTCTGCAAGCTGGATAAAAATACTGTCAGTTGCCCAAAGCGTAACTGATTAACCATAGGTCAGAATGTCAAAGATGACTTCTACTTCAAGATACTTCATGTAGGTTTTGAAATACCAGCTGAGGAAGGATAAAATTGCTAAAACATCTCTTCGTTCTCTATCAGAGATACATTATCTAATGGAAAGTGCATTACCCTGAAGTCCAAAAGACTTGGGTGCCAGTCCCAAATCTACCAGTAATTAGCCTTGTGACCTGGGGCAAGTCACCTCATTTATTCTGGGCCTCAAGTTTATAACTAATAGCTAATGTTGTTCACATGCTTCACAGTAAGGTATTAACTCTTTCAATTGTTGCAACAATGCTATGAGGTTGGTGCTGTTAATATTTGCATTATATAGATGAAGAAATGGAGGCACAGAAAGGTTAAGGGACTTGCCCAAGATCATTCCACTAATAAGAGACAGACCTAAGGATTGAATCCAAGCAGGCTGCCTCTAAAATCCACACTCTTAACCACATTGTTCTGTGCCCTTCAATCGTATGCTAACCTATGAAAGGACTTGCAGATGGTGCCTGGGACGCATTTCTGTTACGATATTCAGTTAATGAAATGAAATAATTATGAAAGACCAATTAACTTTTAATTTAACTGCTTTAGTATAACAACAGTGACAGAGCTTTACTTCTTACTTGTTTTCTTCCCAGCCACTTACCAAGGTGGGATAAGGTGGGTGGGACAGTGAACATGTGTATTATTGTAGCTGGTAGCTATTGAATTTCAGATTCCAGGGCTCTTGGTCTTTCTCCAGCATCAAGTTACACAAAATAAAGTTGAACAAGTTGACAGGTGCAGTAATGAAAGCTTATTTACAAGACTGACACCAAATGCAACTTTTCCAAGTCAGTGGCAATAATAATTCAAGCAGACAGGGTAAACATTCCTGTAACTCAGTCGTTCTCTTCCAATTTGGGTAATCACTGGAGGCTGTGTTAACTGAATTCAGTGAAGTAACAGCTAAGATTGTTTTGAACTTGAAATGGTCAACAAACTTGTAGAGATTTGAAGGGTTTTTTCCCTAGTTCCTGCTCTTAAATATATATATATATTTTTTTTTAATTTTGGAGATAAGAGGCTCCTTCGGTTTTAGTAGGTACTTCAGTCCTTTACCTCCTAAAAAACTTTCTTGGATTTATACAATATATTCGTTCAAGTTTTAATTCCTCCTTCGGATCTGCCTAATCTCTGTTATAACACGGTAGTATTGTATACGATCTTGTGCTGCAGTATCTATGCTCTAGTCTCATCCTTTCCACTAGATTGAAGTTACCTGAGAGCAGAGACCATACTTACATTTTTACTCCTTATAGTACATAGCACTGTAAAATATTTGCATGTAGTAGTAGCAGTGCTCAGTAGAACTTTGTTTTGTTTGTTTAATATATCAGCTTACATTAGAAAAGGAATCACCCTGCAGTAGAAATTCTTTACTGTGTCAGTCTGTTTTAAATTGTCCTGAGTTAACTTTTTTACCTGACTACGGAAGCTTTCCGTATCAAATTGCTGCCTTTTACTTGGTCAGATAACTCATGCCAGTATATACATGTTCTGTTTTTCAAACATTAATCTAATTTGCCTTTCTTGGTAACTTAACATCTTACAATTTCTTTTTGATAAGTCGGCGTCTTCATTCTATTAACGATGATTTCCATCCAGACATATAGATTATGAAATTTTTACCCCATGATGTTTTTATTTTAGTCAAATATTTTACTATTCAGATCTTAATTTTTCTTGTCTAGAAGAGATAAGCTACAAACATAAACATTTTAAAAGCCAGAATAGATTTGAAAATAATAAAGAACACTGTAAAGGATTAACCGAATAAAAGTAATTTGGAGACTGTTTAATGAAAATTAGGTAGAATTGTCCAGTTGAAGAGATGGCCCTATTATTCTCCACTTACCCATCTCTATCCTGACACCATTATATTCTTCTCTTATGAATTCGTCTATATAGAACTAGTCTGAGTAGACAGCTCTGCAATTGGAACATAATGGCTTTCCAAGTAGTACTGTCCCCAGAACTATTGTTTTTCCTTAGAGTAACATCACGTAATTAAAGAAAAGACATTGTTTATCTGAATACCTTTGAAAATACAATTTTTTTTTGGCTGCCTTGGGTCTTCGTTGCTGCGCGTGGGCTTTTTTCTAGTTGCAGTGAGCGGGGGCTACTCTTCGTTGCGGTGCACAGACTTCTTGTTGCGGTGGCTTCTTTTGTTGCGGTGCACGAGCTCTAGGCGCGCGGGCTTCAGTAGTTGTGCCACATGGGCCCCAGAGTGCGCAGGCTTCAGTAGTTGTGGCTCGCAGGCTCTAGAGCACAGGCTCAGTAGTTGTGGCACACGGGCTTAGGTGCTCTGCAGCATGTGGGATCTTCCTGGACCAGGGATCGAACCCGGGTCCCCTGCATTGGCAGGCAGATTCTTAACCACTGTGCCACCAGGAAAGTCCCTGAAAATATAATTTTACTTGTAGCCCAACCAGAAACTCTTGTTATTTTCATTTCAGAGATTTCAGTCATAGAAGAAATTTTGTGTGTGTTTGCCAAATATCAAGTTTCTGCTAACAGAAGTTTACATTATAAAAAAGTATAAAATACTGAAAAGGACAAAGAATAAAATAAAGACCAATAATTTAAAATACATTGTTCATCTCTTTTCATGAAAGAATGGCTATTGCAATCTAATGTTACTTCTTTCTATAACTCTCTTTTCTGATAGCTCGTGAAAAACCATGGCAAGGAAGAAGAACACATTTTGGAAGCGGAAAATAAAAAACTAGCAGAAGATAAGGAAAAACTGGAAACTGAATTAAAGAAGGCTTCAGATGGTAACGTTGTATGCATGCACAAAAGTAGGAAAAGTATTGTGATATTTTATGCTGTTACACTTCACTGTTTTTCCTAAAACAAAATCATGGCTAAATGTTCTTCTGGCTAAAATACCAAGAGTGACCTATTTATAAATTCCTGCTCAAATACGGAGATAAAACACTGTTTCAGCCAAGAGAAACATGCTCTGTTATACATACAAACATGTAGGTGTTTCAGATCTGTGTTGTAAATACAGATGTTCCTCCCTTAGCAAAAGAGCTATGTTCCTGAAAAGTTGCTTGTAAACACGTTTGGAAATGAATCACATTTTTCCGTCATAGTATATTGCTTCTTTGAAAGAAGCAATGACGGGGGATTGCTTATTATTATTATTTATCTTATTTATTATTATTTATCTTATTATTATTTATCTTATAATTATTATTATTTATCTTATCTTATTATTTTGGTTATAAGAAAATACGTTGCTGATCTCAAGCCCTAATACTTTCTACCTGCCAGATATAAGGAAAATGTTCCTTGAAAGAGATGGATAGGGATAGAATAAGCCACAGTCTAGGATGCCAGCTGAGAGCTTGAATGTCTCATTCCAAAACACACTGCAATGAGGACTTGGGGTAGGGCGTCCTAACTCCATTTTCCTGAAGGCAGCTATTTCTCCTACATTTTTTGTTTTTTGAAAAATAGCTCTGTTAGTATTTTCTTCTTCTTAGACAAGGAACAAATTATTATTGCCTGTAGCTGCATAGCACAGAAAAGTCCCAAGTCCAGTGTCATCCCAGGAAACTCTGAATAAAAGTTTATGGCTTGACCCCTGAGCAACATTCCTGCATATGACATAGTCCTTGATGTTGTCCAGATACTGGGGAACCTCTCAGTCAGAGTCAAGATAATAACCAATGCATAGACCTTCTCCAATTTCAGATCTCTTCCACTACTTTGGGTTGGGAATAACTTGGAGAACGTTCAGTGACTTAATCAAAGACCTACTTTATGCCATTTGTAAGTTTAGATTTTTTTTTAATAGACCTCAGTATAATAGAAGTTTCTGTACTATAACTTGCTGTTTGATTATCTATGGACATTGTTTGTGTAGAGTTGAGTTCATCAAGATGTATTTGAGCGACTTCCCTGGTGGTGCAGTGGTTAAGAATCCTCCTGCCAGTGCAGGGGACGTGGGTTCTAGCCCTGGTCCAGGAGGATCCCACATGCCACGGAGCAGCTAAGCCCATGTGCCACAACTACTGAGCCTGCCCTCTAGAGCCCGCAAGCCACAACTACTGAAGCTCGCGTGCCAAGAGAAGCCACTGTAACGAGAAGCCTGTGCACCACAACAAAGAGTAGCCCCCGCTCAACACAACTAGAGAAAGCCTGCGTGCAGCAACAAAGACCCAGCATAGCCAAAAATAAATAAATAAACCTATTTAAAAAAAAAAAGTATTTGAATTTGAGATGGAAAGCCTGAAGATAAAAGCTAATTCTGTTTAAAAAAAATCTGTAGGATATTTCATATATGATATAAAATATATAGTTACTTTCCTACTTCTTATTTAAAGTAAAAAAAGAAAAAGAAAATCATTTAGAGGCAGTAAGTTAAAAAGTAAGTTACTCTTCTAGACAAGGTGGTAGATGATGTGATAGGTATAGTATAGCTCAAAATTCTAAATCTTCTCATAGTTGGTGTACTGTTGGCTCTTCTGCAATTCCAGACAATTTGGAACATGATCATGAAGTTTTAACATTTGTATGAAAATAAATTTAGTAATCAGACATTTCAAGTGAGAAATAGTGTTCTTTTTTTACCCAACACAAAATATTGGTGCTAATCCTTCTGAAGAATGCAAGGGACTATTTCCAAAATACCTTTAATTAGTTTAAAAAAATTATTTTAAATTTCTGCTTTTTTTCATATTTGCCAAGGATCCTTTCCCTTATGTTGTAAGCAGAGTAGGACAGAAATAAAAAGACAGACAAGAATAGGTTGTGTGCCATGCTACACCTCTCCTAACCCTGGCCAGCTTAGTTTTTTCCTCCCTTTGCCTTTTAAAAATTCCAACTCTGAGATGTTTTGAGCTTTAACCTCACAAGTCTGATATATAACTCTAAACTCGGGGTTATTTTGAGTAATATAAAGAAACTCAATATTTCTTTAACAGACAATTCAGATGTCTGGAGAAAATGAACTCTTTGATAATACAGGCATTTTGTTTATGATCTGATAACAAGAGTTGCCAAGCTTCTGTGTTTGAAGTGTAGACTGCAAAACTGCTTTCAAAGTGAATCAGTGTTGAGGTAAAAGCAGATTTTACCTGTTTGAGTATGTCCTGTTTGGTTCCTGCAAGGTGTGTAGTATTTTATGAACACATTTTATTTTAGATAACATTGTTACTGACCTTGAGAAGATCAAAGTTCCATTTCTAAAGGAGGTATAACCCTGGCTATGTTCTCTTGACCTATACCAATCAAATTCATTAAGACAAGAACTAAGAAATAAATTAATAGTACAAGATTTGGATGAATTCAGCAGCACAATGCTTTGTACATAGTACCATTCAAATATATTCATAGATTTCTAAAAATTGAGGGTATTAAGGCTGACAGTGCTTAAGAAATGTTTTAGCAAGTTCTTTTATATTTGAAAACTGAGTAGAAAGGCAGTGTGGTTTGTTTCTTAATAGAGGTAGAGTATTTTCCATATGTATGGTCTTACCCTTAGTGTTTCTTTAATCTAAGTGAAACATTTTCTCCAAATGTATTAGCAGAAGTAAAGCATAAATACAAAATGTCTGTTTAAACTGATTCAATCCAAATTGGAAAAGTGCTATTCTGAAGGCAGGTATTAAGAGCACTCACTCTATCAGTAGTGCCAAAATCTCCATCAGTTTTTAACCACCAGCTTAGATTTTTGACCAGTTAGTAAATTACCTGTGCTTCAGTGCAGTAATATGACCCCAGTGAGCCAAACGAGAGCGTGCATGTCCCCAAGCACCCAATTTACACTCAGGACTAACTTAGTCAGGTGTAAGGACCTGATCTGTCATTTTTAATGATTTGTTTAATGGTAACTCTGATGTCCCAGTGTGTGGAGTAATTGGGAAAGGCCAGTGCCGTGAAAAATGAGACCTTAGGCTCTAAAGAATTTACAAAGTTCACAAGCCCTCATAATAAAAATAGACCTTGTATGTAGTGGAAAACCTTCTGATATCCAAGGAGATTGACTTTTAAAGACTCTTCCAGGAGAGCTTCCCAGTATTTATTCTTAATACTTTCCCAATATTTATTCTTTTTTTAAATTAATTTCTTAAATTTATTTATTTTATTTACTTATTTTTTATTTTTGGCTGCGTTGGGTCATTGTTACTGCACACAGGCTTTCTCTAGTGGCGGCGAGCGGGGGCTACTATTTGTTGCGGTATGCGGGCTTTTCATTACTGTGGCTTCTCTTTGTTGCAGAGCATGGTCTCTAGGTGCGGGGGCTTCAGTAGTTGCAGCACATGGGCTCAGTGGTTGTGGCTCACGGGCCCTAGAGCGCAGGCTCAGTAGTTGTGGCACATGGGCTTAGTTGCTCCGCGGCATGTGGGATCTTCCCGGACCAGGGCTCAAACCCATGTGCCCTGCATTGGCAGGTGGATTCTTAACCACTGCGAGGAAATACGTACCGTTCAGTCATTGCGTGCATCCAGGCGGTGGTAAAAGTGGATACAGTTTTGAAAGTGATCGAGTTGCCTGTGGACATGTCACTTCCTCATTCCTTTAGGAGCAATAGTATACCCATAACATGCTACATTGAAAGTTACCAGGGCTGCCATTCTAATAGTAGAGGTTGAGTAGTAGTGTATTTCTCCTACATAAAGGGAAAAGAAAAAGAAGAAAATACAAAAAAATGATTGAGGCAAATTCCTTGACCCTGCCCTTATTCTTTCTTCCTTCCTTCCCTTCCTTTTCTTCCTTCCTTTCTTTTTCTTTCTTTCTATCAGCAATTTTTTAGGAACTATTCATATAACTTATTCATTGTAAGATCATTTAACATGGAGCATAATTAAAACTGTCCTTAAAAAGCATAACTATTGAGGGACTTCCCTGGCATTCCAGTGGTTAAGACTCTGTGCTTCCAGTGCAGGAGATGCGGGTTCCATCCCTTGTCAGGGAACTAAGATACCACATGTCACACTGCACAGCCAAAAAATAAAAACCATACCTATTGAGGATAAGGCAAATTTTTATTTATTTTTCTTCCAGTTTTATTGAAATATAGTTGACATATGGCACTGTATAAGTTTAAGGTGTGCAGAGTAATAATTTGATTTACATGCATCATGAAGCAATTATCACAATAAGTTTAGTGAACATCCTTCATCTCATACAGATACAAAATTAAAGAATAGAAAGTAATTTTTTTTCTTGTAATGAGGATTCTTAGGATTTCCTCTCTTAACAACTTTCATGTATGACATACACCAGTGTTAATTCTATTTATAATGTTGTATATTACATCCCTAGTACTTATCTTATAACTGGAAGTTGGTACCTTTTGACTGCCTTCACCCAATTCCCCCTCCCCCCGCACCTCTGGTAACCACAAATCTGGTCTCTTTTTTATGAGTATGTTTGTTTTTGAAGTATAATTGACCCTACAACACTATGTTAGTTCCTTTTACACAACATAGCGATTTGCTGTTTCTATACATTTCAAACTGATCACCACGATAAGTTTAGTCAAGTCTAGTTACCATAAGTCACCATACAAAGATATTACATAGATACTGACTGTATTCCCCACACTGTACGTTTCATACCTGTGACTCATTTATTTTGCAACTGGAAATCTGTACTTCTTAATCTCCTCACCTATTTCTTTCTTCCCCTTACCTCCCCTCCCCTCTGGCAAACACCTGTTTGTTCTCTCTATATATAAAACTCTGTTTATATTTTGTTATGTTTGTTAACTTTTTTTAATTCCACATATAAGTGAAATAATACATATTGCTCTTTCTCT